TGGAGAAAATTCTAACGTAAGGAAAATTTCAGGCCTAGATTTAAATAAAGTTGAGTCGTTGCGATCGAATTATGACAAATCCCGTTTGTGTTTTAAATGTAACAAACCGGGACATGTAGCCATAAACTGTCAAAAATAAGCTTAACGTTAACTATATAAAAAATGGGGCTAAATTCTAAAATAAGAATAAACACAGAAAGAAAACTATCGAATTAAAGAGCTAAATTAAGACTTATAAAATAAAGGAAACACGAAACTGAAACTTGGATATATATCTTTATTGAGTCAAATATTCATCAAATTCATAAAAGTAAAAAATAAAAATTCAAAAGTTTTATCAAAATTAAAAGTGTTTCTTTATCAAAAAAATCAACAATATATATTGATCTCTAATATAAAAAAAATGACTGACATTTCTTTAATTATATACAAAAGATAAACAAATATATATAGATATATATATGAAAATTGATTGACATTATATTATAAAATGTATCATTTACGACATGCCAGGGCTGTGGCACGCCAAAAAAAAATATAAATTTAACAAGGGTCGGGATGCAGCGGATTTTGTGGGAGTCATCACGAGAGCAATTGATTCTCCCACAACTCCATATCATCGATACATGGGGCCTCCGCAGAAAAGGCGGACGTCGTCGGAGCAGGCCCCTGAATACTATCGACAGCTCGTTGAAGAATATTGTCGGTCGGGGGGTTTGATATGCTGCTAGAACTACCGCTGGAAGTGCCAATTAGCGCACCCCTGTTGGCCGACGGAGCCGGTCGCATAGGATAAAATGGAGCTGGCCCTTGCGTTGAGTTTACCATTCTCCTTCGATAATGCTTGGTTGATCGTCCCATGGCATTGTCATTGATCGGGGCTAGAGGCGGTCGTCCATCTCTACCTAGATTCGGACACTGACTCCGAATGTGGTCATAGAAATATTTTTTGTTTTTGATATAATGTGCTTTGTGCCGTAAATAGTGTGCATCAAAATAAGTTTTTTTTTGTATTTCCCGTTGCATCTTATATCCAAATATTCCATACTATCAGTCACATGGAGACAACCAGCCGCTTGATAGATCTGGGATCGTGTTACATTCAAGTAACCTTAATACCAAAAAACACCGGCATGACGATACAAGCACCGGTGTCGCAGGATAATTCTATGATGTCCGGGGGGCTCCGTAAAAATAAATGCTTCCATTGTCATAGCGATGACCACATTCGGAGTCAGTGTCCGAATCTAGGTAGAGATGGACGACCGCCTCTAGCCCCGATCAATGACAATGCCATGGGACGATCGACCAAGCATTATCGAAGGAGAATGGTGGACTCAACGCAAGGGCCAGCTCCATTTTCTCCTATGCGACCGTGGCATCTCCAGCGGTAGTTCTAACAGCATATCAAACCCCCCGACCGACAATATTCTTCAACGAGCTGTCGATAGTATTCACGGGCCTGCTTCGACGACGTCCGCCTTTTCTGCGGAGGCCCCATGTATCGATGATATGGAGTTGTGGGAGAATCAATTGCTCTCGTGATGACTCCCACAAAATCCGCTGCATCCCGACCCTTGTTAAATTTATATTTTTTTTTGGCGTGCCACAGCCCTGGCATGTCGTAAATGATACATTTTATAATATAATGTCAATCAATTTTCATATATATATCTATATATATTTGTTTATCTTTTGTATATAATTAAAGAAATGTCAGTCATTTTTTTATATTAGAGATCAATATATATTGTTGATTTTTTTGATAAAGAAACACTTTTAATTTTGATAAAACTTTTGAATTTTTACTTTTTACTTTTATGAATTTGATGAATATTTGACTTAATAAGATATATATATCCAAGTTTCAGTTTCGTGTTTCCTTTATTTTATAAGTCTTAATTTAGCTCTTTAATTCGATAGTTTTCTTTGTGTTTATTCTTATTTAGAATTTAGCCCCATTTTTTATATAGTTAACGTAAGCTTATTTTTGACACTTGAAAAATTTTTTAATCGCATACCCAAATTTGCGGATTACGGAAAGAAAGGAAGAAAAAATTATTTGACTTCTCTTTATCCAAATCCTAAGAAAATTCACGATGAAGCGATTATTATAAAAAAAACGCGTTTGAAAAGAAAAGGAAATAATTATCGGGGTGGTTTGGCAAATTTTTAAGAATTCACGTGAAAAAATCCTTTTTCTTTTAAAAAAAAAATAAAATATAATTTATTAAGTTGTTTTATTTTCTTCTTTTGAATTTTAAAGCGGTATATTAAAAATAAGATATATTTATTAATAGTTTAAAAAAAAAATTTATATGAAATTGTTTGCATTTTCACGCCCCCTCCCCCTCTCACTCCTAATAGCCAGTGTTGTTATACTCCTCGTTTTTGAGCCGATTTTTTAAAATGGCTAACTCAACATTTCATCTAGAAATAATATTACGCTAGCCTGAAGATTATGTTTGTGGAAGGAACAGGTTTGATCTCGAGTCTTGGGCAATATTTATCTGGCGGATGTATCGAGTTAACCTTTTTTTAAAAATCGGCTCAAAACGAGCTGTGTAACCACACTATTAATAGCGCGCCAAAAAAATATTTAAATTGCGGGAAAAGGGGGTAAAATATGTGACATTTTGTCGTGGAAAATTAATTGAGATAAAAAATTTAACATTTATACACCAAATTCTTAGGAAAAGAATCAAAAATTTTTAAAAAAAATATCCGTTCATAATTTTTTTTTCTAAAATTGGGGGTATTATTGTCCGGGGCTTTTTGGGAAGGTCATTTATGTCAGCGATTTACGATAATATTGTGCAACTCATGCTGTTTTATCCTGATAAATTAAATTTAATTGTACGCCTTACAATAATTTAAAGTTGGAGTTCCTTATCAGAAAGCCTCGATTATCTTATTTATGGCATTTTTCTCGTAGAAGAAGAAAATACTACCGGGGCGGGTTCGACCCCTTTTAGAAAATCGGTTTTCGACTAAGTTTTCTTGTTATTCAAATTTCCTCTAAATGAGAGTTGAAAATTCCTGGATCCTGGAATGATAGCAATGATTTTTCGTGATTCGTTGAATACATCAATATCGACAAAGATTCTCTCACGATCCTTGAGGAATATATTACACTATCAATTCATTTTGAATTAGAATTATCGTGGTCACGGAAAGTGATTGGTTAATCCTGACTGAGTATTGGTGCCTATATAAATCAGCGGGAACTTGGAAAGGAAAAGAGAATCTTCCCTAAATTCCACAAAGCTGCTAAGATTTATTCCTAAACATGCTTTTTAAAATATGGAATAGTTTTACCTTCAAAAAATCGAATTCGCACTTTAATAATTGTATATTTAATTTGGAATAGAGATCACCTTATTGTTAATGTAGTATATAAAAATTGGTATTTTCTATTAAAGATTTTTTTTATCATGAATCCCCACCCCCCTCTTCCCTTGCTTAAGCACGATAAAAAAGTATTTATTAAATTTCAAACTAAAAAAAACGAACCGAACCGCTATTCTTAACTGTTCGAAACCCGGTTTATAACAGTTCGGTTACGGTTTAGAAAATTATAACGGTTTAGTCCGGGTTGGCGGTTCGGTTCGGTTCTAAACCCCGAATCTAAAAAAAACAATATAACTAATTGAATCGGTGTATTATAGTACACAAAAAAAAATTAAAAGAATTAATGAATTCATCTTTTATTTTAATGAATGAGAAGAATAGACATAATTTGTTTTAAGAAATCATGGAAGCGTTAATCCCCGCCAGTTATATACATATTTAATATATTTATTATTGTAATTTCTTTTTTTAAAAATTTTTAAATATTTTTCTTTTAATATTATAATGCATAATTTAATTTTTCTTTCTTTCTTTTAATTTATTAATTATTAATTAAAATAATTTATTCAATTTTTTTTTTATAATTGACTACATAAAAGAGAGAGATATTTTTTTTATAATATTTTGTTAATAATTATGTTAATTTTTTTTAATGTTTTTTCATATTTAAAAATTCATTTGATTAAAATTTTCAGGGACTAAATTTTTGTTCTTGTTACTATTCCATGGTTCTTTGCGGCTTAAGATTCTTTTATGTGTTTCTGGAAAAGTTTTACAAAAGTATCTATTAGAGATTATTATATATTTTAAACTGTGTATCGTGTTGTTAAACTTCGTAACTTTAGTCAACCATAAAATGAAGCCATTGTTTTTATCTAGAAATATTCTATACAATCTTTAAGTTGTGACTCAAAGGCTTAATTCAATTTTTTCTAGCTACATGCCGCTATAGAGAATGGTCAAAGTTAAGATTTAGCAAACGCTACTATAGTATTTCAGAATTCGAATGTAAATTTTCGTAAATATTTTTAAAGGTTGTATTTGGAATGATTATTCATTCATGATAATATATTTAAATAATTGAAATATATTATTTGTTCATGGTTAGTTTTGTCATCGTTTATGTGCGCACAAATTGAGCGTTTATGTTATCGCCCTAATTTTTTAAATTTAAAAAAAAATACGTAACGCGTCCCTTTGTTTAAATTGAGGCTGTCATTCAAAATTTTAAATAAGTTCTAACAAAAAAAGGGATTTGTCTTCGAAAACTATATTTATCGTCTGCCTTCTTATTTTTCTTTAATTTCTAATTATTCCTTTTTTTCAAGGATTATAAGTAAGTTATTTTATATTACATTTTTATCTAACATTACAAAACGAAGAATAAAATGAAGTATTGAAAAAGCAAAACCTGTTTGCATTTTTTTAAAAATGGTTGCTAACGCCAAACGGTAATTTTTGCCAATTAGCACGAGGCTATTTGAAAGGTATTATTTACTCTATTCTTTGATATCACTTGCAATATAGAGTTAAAGATATCCCATGTCCTGCTGAACTTTAAAACTAGGGATAATAATCTTCTAGTAAGAATTATCTGTTAACTCTTATTAGAAGAAGAATTTTAACATTTTTTTATAAAAAAAAAATAGAATGCCAGGGTCTTCAATGGAATTACCCGAATCAGTATTTTTTGCTCAAAAAAAATCTCGTAAATTGCACCCACATCATGGGCAGCCTAAACCTGGTCAAAATCCAGCCCGGAGATGATCTCTCCTTCCTCAGCACCATCCGCATCATAGAGGGCTACCTTTCGATACATTCCGTCGGCGCACCCGTCATACCGCTCACCAACTTGAAGGTCATCAGGGGCAACGATCTCTACTACCCGTACGAGGATAAGCGAAAGGGTTTCGCCCTCTTCATAGAGGGCAACGTCTACAATGGTCGCGAGTCGGATATATTCCACGATTTTTCCGAAGGTAATATCCTTTATTACGTTTTTTCCCCCTGGATTGTCATTTGAATGAGGTCGAACGCGATGTCCACGTTCAATAAAAAAATCATACGAAACGCATGATCGGTTTATGAAATATAATTGTTCGGGAAATAAACCCCCTAAGCGTGAGACAATCGGCCCGATAACTTAGGAGAGTGGTGCGGGTTAAGATTTTGACGGATATGGTTTAGGATTACTTTATATATATAAATATACTGTTTAAATTTTTTTTAAAATTTGGGTAAGTAATACTTAACTTTTGTTTTGATTTTTGCGCTAGTATTAGGTTAGGATATATCTCCTACCTTTTAGAATTAATAGGGGGGACTCATAGTTTTTCTAAAGAGTGGAGACAGCTGTCTTAGTAAAAACTGTATATTAAAATTAAAATTATTCGTATCTTTCCATGATGATGGTATATCCCGACAATTCTGCTTAAAAAATATATTTAAAAAATTTTTTTTTACCCATCATTCAAAAATAAAATATAATAAAATACCAGAGTTACTTTATAAAAGATTTGTTACAGGAAAAAAAATAAATTGGGAATTTTGGGAAAGATTTTTGATCAAAATTTAAGAAAGGCCTTAGAAATGGTAAAATTTAAAGTAAGAATAGTGAATATTTATAATCTAAATATTTTGTAATTTTCATGCATTAAAATAATCGCAAATTTTGTTTTTTTTTCAAACTCTGCAAATTACTAACCCATATTCTGTATCGGGTTTAAACACAAATTCTATTGATTGAGCTAAAGGACAAAGAAAAAATTGGCCTTAAATGCTTCCCCTTCTCACTAGACATACTTTAAATGTTCTTTATTTCTTTCTTTTCTTTCTTTCTTTCTTTCTTTCTTTCTTTCTTTCTTTCTTTCTTTCTTTCTTTCTTTCTTTCTTTCTTTCTTTCTTTCTTTCGCATGTTAACATACCCTTTTAAAAAAAACATCTCTCATAAATCTATCCGCGTATGATGTAAATTTAGTTGAACGTGACCCGTACCTAACGAACAACACGCGAGAGATGGAGATTATTCGAAGGGTGGGCGGCGCTATCCCTATCCTCAAACCGTCTCCCAAGGTGGCCCAATCCATCACGACTCCTTCGGTGCCAGCGAGTCCCAATTTTCTCCGATACATTCAGTTTTACTCGTTGACAGAAATCGCTCGCGGTGGGGTGTTCATAGGCAACAATCCCGGTCTTTGTCACCTGACTACGACGGTTAATTGGTCCGACATAGTCACTGGTAACCTGGAAATTTCGCCCTTGCACATCTTCAAGGATCAATTTCCGGAACAAGGTTTATTCATGGAAATTTTATATGCGAGTTAATTTCATATACAGAGAGAGGAAAAGGTGACTGAACCACAATCTATTAGAGATGTACCGATATTTTATATCGGATCAGATCGGGCCGATATTTCGCCCATTTTAAAATATCGATTATCGGCAAATTTTATAAAATTTTCCGATCCAATCCGATATAAAATGGCGCTTTTAACAAAATTTAATAAAAGTTATATCTAAAAAACCATTTATTTTTATAAATAAAATCGAAATACATTTTTGTTTAATTTTTTTAATAGTAATAATTAGTTAATAAACATTCTGCAATAGTTATTTTTTTTCGCATTCTGTTTAAAAAAATGTTCATTAATCTCTTCAGAATCTGTTTTTAGTGATGCTAGTGATATTAACAGCCCCATCATCGCAGACCGATCTCTGATAAATTGAAAATTTTGGTATTTCTAAAAAGAAATCTTCGATATATTAATTTTAAATTTCAATATATTTGTTTATTACTAATTATGTAAATAGATTATTGTTATTACTTATTATATAAATAATTGCAATTGAATTGAATATAAACTATAACTGACCATTATAATATATTTAAATGACATATGTTATGGTATAGTAAAATTATAGATGTTTTACTAAAAGGTATATTAAAAATTATAACCAAAATTAGATATGATATCGGATCGGTTATCGGCCGATATCAATTTAATATCTGGAATATCGGATCGGATCGGCCTCCAAAAAGTGGTATCGGTACACCCCTACAATCTATACTTTGCAAAATAATTTATTTTTTAAAATACGCCAAAAAAATTAAGCTCTTATATCCGGTCCTCCTTGCTCCTCGACTTGCTCCCTGAAATGCAGGAGCAGCAAATGCTGGGATTGGAATAATTGTCAAACGGTCTTTGGCCTTGAATGCCACAAAGATTGCCCACTAATTGGACGCATCTCTCCCCGGTGCATGGGGCCATATTTAAAGGACTGCTGCCACTTGGAATGCGCTGGTGGTTGCTCCGGACCCACTGACCGAGACTGCTTCATGTGTCGTCACCACGCGGAAGATGGGGGTCGTTGCCTTCCAAGATGCTCTTTCGCGGGCTCTAGGTTACCGGCGGAAGATACATTTGATAGAGGCGTTAACAGGACGTCCGCGCGCACATACGCCATGGGGTTCGCGTGCGTAGAACAGTGCCCGCCACATTACTTGGTCGATCAAGGTTGGGCCACGCTATATTTTTATTTCTTTTTTTTCCTGCTCTATTAGAAAACGTTACAATATACTAGACCTCTGTAAAATCTAGAAGCTTGCATAATTATATTTTGGCTAAAACTGTACTATACTTATGACTTTTGTAATTTAAATATAAGCATTTTTTTCCAAAATTTATTGTATATATTGTTGCATACAATCCTTATTCCTTACCTTATTAATAAAATAGAATGGGAATTGAAATTGGAATTCATCTGTCTATTTTAAAATTTTATATTTTTTTCAGGTCATGTATAGAAAATTTAAACAATCCTAATTTCGTAAATGCTAACATTACTATAAAAAAAATGCGAGGGATTTTTTATTCAAGTGGATAGGACTGCGGTCACCTTATAATGAATTCCTTTTTTTTTGTAGTATTTAGTACGATGAACAAAATCCTCGCCAAATCTTGTCCCCATGTCACCCTCCCAGAAAATCCCGGACCATCGAACTCAGTCGATTTCCCCCCCCCCCCTACATTCCTCGGCGGTTGAACCTCCTACGATCACTGTTCCAAATATTTCACATTTATATTCTAAAATAATATTATATAAAGTGGAAATTTTCGATATATATATATAAAAAAACACCGATGTAATTATTCATTCTCAATTTAATAAAATAGTTTTCTTAAAAAAAAGAAAAGAAAAAAAAAGAATGTAAAGAACAGTGATATACAAAAACAAAAGGAATTTCTTTAAACACAACAGAGACCATTACTTATTTTACCTTTCTTTTTATTGATTTCTTCTAGGTTACTTTTGTGTAGCTTTTTGCTCCCCGGGGTTTATCGAAACCGAAGGAACTTCGGTGGACTTGCCCGGCACTTGCATACGCGAACCGCTCGAATGCTCCGATACTTCGATTAATCCGCATTTGCGTTCGCTCAAATGTCCCAAGGTCTGCCAAACCGTGACGGACGTTTTGTCCAACAACCTAGCCAAGTTGGCCGGATGCGAGATCATCCAAGGCGATTTGAACCTGCTCGGTGTGACCTTTACGGCCCGACGTCATCGGCACAACAACACTCATAGCTATCTGATTAGACGCGTTACGCGGGCTGAGCTGGACGCCCTTAGGTCCATCCGGGTTATTACGGGTTTCTTACGACTACAGCTTTTACCCGATGAAGCAGGTCATGATTTAAATTTTTTTGACAATTTGGAGGTGGTGGCAGGCCGGTTCAAACTCTCGTTTGATAAGTACTCAATTTCTGTCTTCAAAACGGAATTGATTTCTCTCGGTCTGCGATCCTTGCGGAGTGTGCCCGCAGGTGGCGTAAGGTTTATGGAGAATGAGCATCTATGTTATCTAGATGTCGGTGATTACTCGCTAAACGCAACAAGCCCGAAAAACGTTTGGACCTACCTGACAAACGCGCATTCTGGTCTTCTTAACTCCACCCCTAATGAGCCGCGTTTCATTACTCAGGATGGGCGACCCAACTCCCTGGAATTTATAGACAATAAACCGCCATCCGATTGCGTTCGCGAGAACCATATTTGCGATATCGAATGTTCGTTTCAATTAGAAGTCGGGAATTATCCAAAAGGGACACCCAAAGGTTGTTGGGGCCCCGGACCTCATAACTGCGTTAAATGTACCCATAGCGTGCTTTCCATTCCTTTTAGGGCCGAGTTAGTCCATCAATCGATGTCCCCAGGCCTGGAGCTACCTCTCGACGCCCTTTACGCCTTAGCCCATCTTTCAAACTTTTTTCGACACGTTCGCTCCATTTTAAACGAATCATCGCCTGACGCTCATAAAAATACCGTCCTACTAAATTTGGAGACCGCGCTTGAGCAGCCCACTTTTTACGGGCTCTTTGTGGACGTGTGCGTGCCGCATTGTGGAGACCTCTCCGTTAATAACCGAGGATACTACGACGCCAACCACATTGAGCGAAATCGAGTCACCGAACAATGGCTCAACGTTTATCGGTCCCTTCTCACCGTTATAGAACAGATAAAACCGACCGGTTCGCCATCTTTATCAGGTTTTAATTTTGTCCCTTTTCACAATTTTTTAAAAATAAATGTTGCCTAAAGTTCTTCGTTTCGTAATATTAATGTGATATATAATGAGGAGGTTTTAATATGGAACAGTTCTATATTTTGACCAGGTATTTATTTCAGTAAATTCCAGAATTGTCTTATAACATTTCTTCAAAATTTAAAACGATTTTGTAAATAAGACCACCAAATTATTTTTGTGGCGTTAATTACCGTGTAAAGGCTTTCTATCCTTATTTTTTGCTTGCGGCGAAGATAATAGGCTTACTGCTTAATTACCCAGCTGTTTAGGTAAACTTATAAATACCCATACTTTGTAAATATCGATATTATTAATTTATTATGATGTACTAATACGGTTACCGTCAAAAAAGGAGAAGAGTTTACATTCGCTGACATGAAGCTCCACATTCAAGACCACATAGAGGAAGTTCTGGGTCGAAATCTGGGCCTTATACAAGACGACGGCACGTTTCCCGACGAACTCAAAATATACACCTATGCCACCCTCAAGAATTACAATAGTGCCATGGATACCAAGGCATCGCGGAAATTGATGGGTAAAAAAATATAAGATACGATATATTATTTAAACGAATTCTGTTACGAATCGTTACCTAGTTTCTGTTCTATACCAATTAATGGATATGGTGGTAATAAAGAATAGAATAAAATGTGTGATTGTATTGAATAAGTTACGGAGGAATTCAAAAGATTAAATTATAGTCTTGAAGATTAAATTTGGAACGATTTTTATTCAAGTAATTTACAATATATTTTTATATATTCAAAAAGCAAAACAAGTGCTCGTTAAAATGAAAATATATATTAATATATATATATTTAATTGCCTGGAGATATACAAATAAATTTCACTGAACTTTAAATATACAATTGAATTATTTAAGTATTTAAATATACAATGGCGCACAAGCAACACCAATCATATCATTTTTTAAACACTGGACGGGAGGACATTTCGGCCACCAGTCAATCCCAGAACCTCTATCCTGTACATTCAATAATATTACAACTTAATGTTCCAATTTTTTATTTATGATTGTTAATTATCATTTTTGGGTGTCGGCCACTGATATCGGCTAAAATAGCTCAACATGAGCCCTATACAATTACAGATACTAGCATATGGAAGAGAGGAATTTTTTTTGTTAATTACTAGGAATAAGAATCCAGTGATAAGCTTAGGATGGTAAATCCTATGAGGTTGGGAAGTAGGGATTTCAGGAATATGCCTTATATCAGATTAAATTGTAATAAACTTAAAAAACATAATTTGCGGGAATTTATGTGATCTGGCCAGAATCTAGTCTACGAAAATAAAAATAACCCCCGATATTTTAAAAATTCAAAACTTAAATATTTTTAAAACCCCCTACGAGATACATGCATTCTCAATAGTAACCTTGACTTGATTTATAAATGTGAAAATAATTTTATTGAAACGTATAACTAGACCCCGCAAATGGTCACGTATGCCGTCTTTGCCACAGCCAATGCTCCGGTGGGTGTAGCGGACAAGGCCCGCATTCCTGTTTTAGCTGCAAATACTTTAACTGGCGTGGTGAATGCGTACAGGTCTGCCCGGTTGGGTCGTATTTAGGTCCGTCAAATGTGTGCCTGCCCTGTCACGAAACCTGCATCAAGTATTTAATGATAAAATTTTAAAATGTTTTAAACTTTTAAATCCAAAAATGCAAAATAAATAAATAGATGCAACGGATCATTGCCACAAATGCGTGAAAATGGATGTCACGTTTGTGCGTTAGCCTACACCCTACCTAATAATAATACGGTATAAATGCTTTTTAAACCCCCCATTTTCTTTGAAACAGATTAAATTCATTATTCGAATGTATCTTTTTTCAATGATGTTTAATATAAATCATGTAAATAATGCGTTAATGACTAATATAATTTGTTAACACTTTTTTTTTCGAAAGATATGTATAAAGGATTTGTGCCCCGATGGATTTTATGACAAGGTTATACTCGATTCCGTAGAAAAATATGACAGACAGCCTAGGGTAACAAAATTTTTTTTTTTTTATTCTATGTCTATTTTCTGATTAAAATAAATCATTTTTTTGTTTATATTTAAACATGATAGGTATGCACCCCGTGTGAAGATGTTTGCGCCACTTGTCGTGGACCTGGTCCTTACGCCTGCAACCTTTGCGATTACTACACCAACCCCCATGACGCTCTTTGCACCAAACGCTGTCCCTTTAACGTTTACGGTGTTAGCGGGTTACCTAATGTAACGGATAAAGAACGGCATATCGTTGAGACGGTCCAACAGGCTACAGGGTAAAAACTCGTAAAAATTCATTCTCATATTGAATTTTTTTTTCCGTGAAACATCAAACGTTACCCACATTTTAACCCAACGTCTCCACTTTAGCTTTAACTTAAGCTATGTCCAATTTTTTGAAAGCACGATAGCTTAATATTTCTCAGAATTTTATTATATTTCCTAAATTTAATATTCATAATATCGATAAAATATGGCGTCCTAAATAGGTGGTCAAAGTATTTCGTGAGGTTTTTTTTTTAAAGTAAATTTGATAAGAGTTTTTTTTTTACCATGATCCATGATTGCTTGTAGGAGATTTTCGCACGTGTTTTTAAAAAAAAAATTCTTTGATTGGCGTGGCTTGCTTCGACCTTCGTGATTAAATTTGTGGGGCAAGCAATTACGGCTAGAGAACTGCAAAGTAATTTTTTCGCAACTTGAACCCGACCCGAGCCCGACCCGAATAAAATTTTGCAATTTAAGTTTTAATATTATAATAACCAAAAAAAAATTTATGTGTATTTATTCAGTTTAGCCACCTTAAATAAAAGTTTATTTGACGGCCATAATCTACTCAAGATATATATTAAGTTGCATTTTATTAAATTTGTAAAAAATATTATAAAACGATTAATATACAAGTATATTTAAAAATTATAATTATTATATAATACAATAAGCATCATTTATGCGAATATAGATATGATATAAAAGTTAATAAATATATACAAAATATAATGAACATATTATATTATATTGACCTCATCAATATCATTATCAAAATTATCACAAAGTGAATAATTATGATATATAAATAAAGAGGCGTCCAGTTTATCTGGCTTTAAACGAGTCCTTCTCTCCTCAAAGGCCCTACCAGCAGCTGAAAACGCCCTTTCACTGCTAGCCGACGAAGCAGGGATAGCCAGGAATTTAAGAGCTAAAATACTTAAATTTGGAAACTCATAATGGTTTGTTTTCCACCATTTTAAAATATTATCGTCATCAATACATAATTTCGGATCTAGGTATTTTTTTAGCTCGTCAACTTCGGCGCTAGCATCAGAATACGCATTGTCAGCCTCCCATAGAGAGAAGTCCAAAAACGTATCTACCACCTCTGTAGTTTCTTGAGAAAAAAATATTCATTAATAATATTAAGATATATATTTACTTTATTATTTTTTAATAAATAATTTTATTATTTGAGCACGAGTTAGATGGTGAGTTGTTTAAAGACTTTTGCTCAATCACATCTCTGTTGATTTTCTCTGCATTAATCAACGTGTTGATATGTTGACACAAATCTTTATAATGTTCCCGGGATAACATTTTCATATTCCCAAATTTTGGGCACAAAAACGTCGAAATTTGGTGGAATAAATCTATTTAAAATTTATCCACCAATATTTCCCGGCATCTTAATGAAAGCTGGTTTAGCTGATAGTTAAAGCTAGGATTAGCTAAAAAACTCAATATTTTATGATAACATAAAATAACTTTGTGAATAGTAGGTTTTAAATCACTCTCAAGTTCATCACTCGCAATTTTAAAAGGCGTCAGACACTTGATCAGATCCCTCATCATTTCAAAATCAATATTTTCAAGTCTAATCGACTCTCCTCTGGAATTGAGGATTTCCAATATGTCATTAAATTGATTAAAGATCGATTCAATCATATTCAACCTACTATTCCACCTAGTCTCAACACACATGTGGAGAGTTTTATCGAGGCGATTAACTAATCTAAAATGTAATGATATATTTTAATAAAAAGTTAATTTAACATACCCACTCTGTTTCATATACGTTACTAAACTTTTACAGTCATTAAAACATTGATTTATCTACGAACAAGATTCAATTTTTTTGTTATCAAAAGTATTTCTCAATACTGTATTTAATAGATGAGAAGCACAATTTAAACGCTTATGATTTTCAAAAGCTTTAACCATATTAGCTCCTTGGTCGGTAATAATTGGAATTTCCGATAAATAGGCCCTGCTGTATCCTGATACAAAGAATACATGGATTTTTATAAATATTTTTAATGAAATCAATACCTAAACAAGGTAAAATTTCTAATAATTTCCTTTTTGATATTTTCCCCTGTCTTTTTTTCCTCTTCAAATTTGCATGTAAACAATACAATTTTATTTAGTTTCCAGGAATCATTTATAAAATGAATTGTTAGAGTTACATATGATATTTTTTTATAATCATCAGTCCAAAGGTCTGTGGTGGCTATAAAAAATTATTAATAATTTAATCATATTTTCATAAATTTGTTACCAGCACATCGACCCTTTTTCATATATGAGTTTAATATAGGAAATAATTTATTGCGGATACCATCAGCAGTATCTACTAAATTTCTAGAAATTGTCGTAGGATTTGGAATGATGCTTTTAACATCAATATTTCCATATATTGAACCAATTTTGGCAAAATATTGGCAACAATCAACAAAGCCTTCCCCATGAATTGTATCAAATGATCTCAAATCACGTCCACAAAACATAGTAAGCACCTTTGTGTACTCTTTTTTCAATTTTGTACAACTTTTGAGTTTTTTCGGATCAGTACCAAAAAGACTATCAATTGTTAATTGTGTCTTTTTACTCTCTGCTGTTGTACTTGTATTTGTATATACACATTTATGTCTTTTAAGTTGATTTGTAAATAATTTAATAAGATCATATTTTATGTATAAATATCTAACCTATTGTTATTGAATTATATACATAAATAAATTTGCATATAATACAAATGACATAATTAAGCTTTTCTTTATTTTCATCATATATAAATGAAAATTTCTTCCATACATCGGATTTTCCATTAAGATTCTCCCTTACTTCATACTCTTTTGTCTTAATCTTTTCACCAATTCTTTTTAATTTTGCATCCATTGAGATAATTTTTTTAATATGGCTGTGTCTAAAATCTAAAAAAAATATTTAAAATGACTTTAATCAATTAGATTGAAATAAACAGAGTTGGGCAGTACTGCCGAATACTTGTATCTAAGATACATGATACAAGATCCCTTTATATCTTGTACTCAGTAGGGGTGGGACCAATACCAATATAATATTGGTTTACAATACCAATATAAACCAAAACCAATATATATTTAAATATTGGTATTGCTTTTACAACCAATACCAATTACCTAAATATATTGGTTTTGATATATTGTTTATATACAATTTTAACCAATACCAATACCAATATTAAAAATAACATAATTATTTGGGTTTATCGTGGATAATTATATCGTGGTATTTTTTTTAATTTAAATGCAAAAAAAACGCCATCTAGCGGATAGAATATTATCTTTCTACATTTATAAATATTTTAAAAAAAGGGTATAAGTAAATTGAAATTTTTTATAAAAGTATTGAATCTAAAATCTTTAATAGATAATTTTTTATATCTATTCAAACATTTATTTTTACTAATAAAGACTAATTAATTCTGAAAAGAATCTTGTATCTTTTTCATTTTCTTGACAAAAGATACAAATACAGATTCTTTTTAATATTCATGTTTTAAATTTTACATATCACATTATACATCTTATTTTCTTTGAGAATCTTGTATTAATTTCCTAAATTTTTTCTGCCATATTTTAAAATATTGACAACCAAAATTAGCTGGAAAATTTACAACTCATATTAAGGTAGATAGATAAAAAAATAATAATACCAAAACGAAATAAGTAAAGATTATATTTTATATATAAATGTAACTTAGAATATCATTACCAATTTTATATAATATTTTTTAATTTCTAGGATGATTAACATTTATGGTAGTGAAATTTAAATTATAGAAATAAGTTCCCCTGAATCAAATCCCAATCTTAAATTTTATATGGAAATTTTTTAAAACAAATGTTAAAAAAGACAATGTATAGGCTAGATAAATAATAAATAATGAATAAAACTTATCTTTAGTACATAAAATATGTCTTATCTTGTAATTCACGGGAAACACACAATTTAGGGATAAAATAGTTTGGTATCCGGTTGTTAGGTTTATAAAATAATAATTAATAATGACATGACATGTTAATATGATTGACATTTTAATCCTAAAATGTGATAAATATTAAATAATATGATTTTATAATTAATATTATAAATTATACTGACTATTTAAGATATTAATATTATTATTTATTTTCGGGTCAGACAGCTTTTACAACCCGACGAGCCCGAACCCGAGAAATTTTTTTTTGATGTCCGAACCCGGCCCGAGGCTTGGGTCGGGTCGGGCTACGGACAGCCCATGCAGTTCTCTAATGACGGCGATGCATTCATAATAATGCACTTGGAAGCGTCGTTGTTGAATGCAAATCAGCTGGTCCCGCCATTTTTGGTAACCCATACAGTAATTATTCTCATGTTAAAAACTGCCATTTAAATTGATAACTTGCTTCCCTATTATCTCGATGATAAGGCAATTCTTTGATAAAGTTTGCGCCAGACAGGAATAAATTGTCCTCTCGTTCAAAATTTTTAATAATGATATGGGTAATCAAAATGGATTCCCCAGCTGTTTTCATTGATGTACACTTTTAACGAGTGCATCGTCAGTCTAGGTATTATTATTATTATAATGTTATTGGAGGTAAGGCAAATAAAGAAATACTCCGATGCCAGTGGGATGCGATTAAATTCAAATTCAATTGTTATTTATACTTTTATATACTATTTGATTCTCCAAATCTCTAAATGGCTTACGACGATATATGTTATTCCGAAATTGAACCCATTTGCTAATCGAATAATTATGTTTGGTTATTTTGTTTAATTGGAATTTCGGACATAAATATACCTGTAAAGTTGTAACGTACCCTTAATATTATGGCCCATAATTTTTGAATACTCAATTTAGGTACGAAGCCCGTCGCCAGCTCGAGAGGCTGAGTCGGTGCGCTTGTCACGAGGAGTGCGGGACCCAGGTGTGTACTGGCCCTAGCCCGAAACAGTGCCAGACTTGTAGCCATTTCTCGGTGCGGATATTTAGGAAGAACGATACAAATACGAGCTTATCGGATGAAGGCATTGGTGCCAGTTATGACGATTATTTCAGTCTACAGTCAATGGCTCAGGTTATACATATTTAATATTGCAGAAAGATACTGATCTATGCTGGCTAATTATTTTTAGTTACGAATATTAATAATAAAATACAATTAATAAATGAATCCGCTATATACTCACTACACAAAGTCTATTATAATTTTTTTTATCATTAATTTCCATCACGTTTTCAATCGACAATGGAGAGTTTTCATTTGTCAGATTAACGTGATTTATGATTACTTTAAGCTCTTTCCATATTCCGGAATCATCGGGTTATAGAGTTTGACCTTAACCCTAATCGAATGCCAATCCCAAACCGACATCGATACAGTACTCGGAACCACCGATTAAAGTTCCTGCAGGGCCCATTAGCCCAGCTCGCAGGTTTGATCAGTGATTCACCTTCCTTTTTATCAGTTATAGCTTAGTTATGATAAGAAGAAAGGGTGTTCGTTAGTTTTTTTAATTATAACTAAAGCCATGCAAATCCAATGATTTTTTAATACTTACTATTTCATTTATTTTATGAATGTCTTCTCTTTTTTTTTGGAAATTGTAGTACGAATGCGTTTCCGATTGTCCTCCTTGGATGAACGATATCGAAACATTGGGCGATAGATTTATATGCCGATTATCGTAAGTCATTATTATTACGAACATGTATCCCTCATATATTACTTGAATGATATGATATAAATACTTTAATCCTGAGACGTTTTTTGGCGTTGTCAGTTTAACCTTTATTAGTTTATTAAAATTACTAATTGTAATTTCAAATGATTGCGTAAAATATAAATAAAATTATAAAAAATCAACTAACCTTAACAAATATGACAGTTAATTATATTTTTTTTAAAGTACAAAGGAAAATGAGTTTATATAATAACTACAGAACCATGAATAAATTTTGGAAAAAATAGATTGGCATATCTTTATAGGCCAGTGTTTTGGTTAGGAAGAAAAAAGTTTTCTTTAGAATTACTGGAAATTATAGATATTCCAAGTGTTGTTAAACAGCTCGTTTTGAGCCGATTTTTTAAAAACGGCTGACTCAATATTTGAGCTAGAAAAATATTGCCTAAGACCTCGAGATTTCGATAGTATATGTCTGGACCTTTTTTTTCCTTCTAGGAACAAGATCTTTAGGCTTTCGTAATATTTTCCTGAATGAAATATTGAGTTAGCCCTTTTTCAAGAGTCTTTTAACAACACTAGCATAATTCCTTCTATATTTCTTTCTAAGAAGAATAGTGCTCGTTGAAGTTTTCCGAAAGTCTATACGGCTTGGCCTACAACAAAAAGAATAATTCGAATAATTGTTCTATTCGTATCGTGCGAATCGAATAACACGTGTCGAAAATTTTTCTAAAATAAAAAATAAATTATATTATGCAAAATAAATTACAAACAGATGTGGATTAAGGATTCTACTAAAAATAATTGTCATTAGCATATCAAAATTTCCCCCCCCCTCCACTTTAAGTTTCTTAACAAGGTAGGTGAAGAGAATGATAATCTTAGGATGGAAAATCCTATGAGGTTGGGGAAACAAGGATTTCTATCAGCCGTATTTGTCGAAAGTGCTCCCTGCAAAATAGTGATTTTTACTTCTTTTTTTTTAAAATTAAATTAAATGTTTATAATTAAAATATAGGAGTGCCGAAGCCAGATCATCTACCGTTCTGCTGAACTCCTCTGCTGCGGTTCTCTTTACCATCCTCATATTGACTCTCATTACTTGCTTCATCTGGAGACGTTATAAGAAACGAATTACAACTGACAGTCTGATGAACAAAGAAGTAATTTACATTATTTGTTTAACAATCGATTTTTAAATGTACATGAATTCGACCGAGATTTATCGAGAATCAGTTTGTGATATCTCTCAAAAAAAGTAGTCAAGAAAAATGAACCAAATCTTTGCAGGAATATCGACATTGAAAAAGTTTTAATTACTATCACAAGTTTAAAAGTTGCAGCTGTATAATCCCATCAATCAAATAACAGCAAGTCACTCTTTTTTTGAAACGAGTCAATTACCCCGATTCGCAACGGTTTCGAAATTTTTTGAAAAACTATCTATATCCTTTATACGTAATTGAAATTACTTAACAAAAAGGTATTGGCAACATAAAAACTATTTATTTAGAAAATGTTTGCAGGTCGATTAATATATATCCCAGAGATTATAAATTGACGTAAATGTCTAATACATTCATCCTTATCTATCAGTTTTACCTTGTTAACTGTGGTGACCATTTATTTGCATTTAACTATCATGTTTAGGGTATATCAATCGATTTCACAACTTTTCTTATCGAGAAGTTTTACCATACCACCCGCGCTGGACAGAATAACCGATATAATTGTCATGGCTGTCTGCCCTTAATATTTTTTCCGCGGATAAAAAAAGAAACGTCTATACACTCTAATAGCGTTACTTTATAGCGTTAACATTATCTTTAATCCAAATCCTATTCCAGTATTTGACTTTAAAAAAGGAGGCTATTGTTATTATATCCTATTATTATGGAATTATTTTACTCTCATTTTCTAAAGTCGTTCTTAAACGAGGACGCGCTCATGCTGGACAAAGTCGCCGCTACGTACGGGATGGACGAAATTGATTCGGTTGATGACTACCTTAGCCGTAAGGACAAAATTCAATCCCCTACCCAAGACCCGACCCGGGAAGTTTGCATCTGTCCTATATTAAGGAAGCACGTCAAGTCTATGAAATTTGTTTCGCGCGACCTTCTCGCTGACTGTTATAAAGTAAACCTCATTTTTTTTTGTAAAGATTTAGGATTAGTCGGTGTTAATAGATAGTCTAGATAAATGACATTAGTACTGACATATACTGAAAAATCATTCATTAAGCGTGTTACGTACATTGAAATCAGTTGTAGAAAATGTCATTGACTGTATTATTTCTATTGAAAGACATTTCGTCTAAATGCCTTTCAATTATGGTTCCCTCAATGTATGCACACTTTTTAAATGCATTTTAATGAATGAATCATCAATCTAGGTTAGTATTAATGTCGTTGGGTTTGGTAGAGATTAGTTATACATGTCTGTTACGTTTGAAATTAATTACAAGGTCAAATTATATTATGTTAGAATCACATCATAGTATAATATAGGTGATTAAACTTTAAATATGTTTATTTTTTAAAGTATACTGTCAGGAATTTGATTTATATATTTTTTAAATTTTGTTTTTATTAATTTTTCTCGTGAAACAAAAAAGTAAAAGTCACGACACATAATTTTTTGCTATCGGGTTTCGTATTATAAAAAACAGATAAAGAAAACACATTTGTTTTTCTTTCTATACAAAAAAAAATATTCACCACTTATCAAATACTTTATTTTTTTTTTACAACAAATAAGTGAGAAAAATAATTACATGAAAAGAAGTTAAAAAAAAATCTACGATGATTAAATAATTTATCTAATTCCTGACAAGCCTTAAAGAAACTTTTATTCACCTGCGCCCAACAAGAAGCTACTCCAAGGACGCCTCTTATGCAAGTTCCATTAATTCGGTAGAGATTTTTACCGGAGGTATTCTTGTTTGGGATCTTGCTACTATGTTGTCTACCGGTTTCGATTCCATCATGACCGTCTCTCTCGATACTATCCTCGTCACTGCCTTGTCTATCGCTGTCAGTCGCTCGCACTTGCGCCGTTTGTCATGAACTGTCCATCACCTACCTGTTTGTACTGGAACTATTTGTTACAGTGTGGCCATTACCCCTCGTGCTGGGGCCATTGCCTATTATTCTGTTCCCCTGCATGGGACTATTTGTTTATATGGTAATCCGCGTGACAATGGTAGCCATTTTTATATCTTGAGATGGTCTTCCTGTTTGGGGAATTTTATGCATCTGTCGTTATCGACGGACCTCCCTGGTCAGGGCATATTGGGCATCTGTCCTTGTTATCGAACAAGCGAGAGCGGATTGACAACGGTAGACAAAGCAGTGACGAGAAAGTATCTAGAGAAGGCGGTCATAATGGAGTCGTAACCGTTAAGCAACATAGCAGCGAGACCTCCAAACCATGCGTTAGTAAACGAGAATCCATCTGGCAAAAAAAAATCTCTACCTAATTAATGGAACTTGCATAAGAGGTGTCCTTTGGAGGAGCTTCTTGTTGGGCGCAGTCGATTTTTTCGGGGAGGGCTTGTCAGGAATTTGATTTATATATTTATTTTTCTTATCAATGTACGATTATTTTTCTCGCTTATTTATTCTTAAAAAAAAAGAGTTTTTGATAGTTGTTAAAAAAAAGAAAGAGTTTTTGTATAGAATAATAAAAAACAAATGTGTTTTTTGTTTATTTTTTTTTATTATAATAAATGATCGCTAAAAATTATGTGTTGGACTTTTTTACTTTTTTTTTGTTTTGCTAGAAAAATTAATAAAAATAAGATTTCAAAGAAGAAAAAAAAATGAAAATAAAATAAAATAAGAGAGACTGCCTCGTAAAAGAAATAAGAATAAGAAAATTTGGTGTTGTTTAAACGGCTCGTTTTGAGCCGATTTTTTAAAACGGCTAACTCAATATTTCATTCAGAAAAATGTTACTCAAGCCTGAAGATTTTGCTTGTGGAAGGAACAAAGGTCTAGATATATATTATCTGAATCTCGAGGGTTAGGCATTTTAAAAAAAATCTGCTCAAAATGAGACGTTTAAACGACACTAAGAAAACGACGCTACATTGAAAAATCTAAGTTAAATTAAGAAATTATAAATGTCAGGGAAAATGAAAGATTCCAGTTAAAAGGTATTGCAAAAGAAAGTGAGTTGCAAAATTATAAATTGTTTAATAATTCATCCCATTATTCCGCTATTTTGCCTCTCATTTCCCCTCCCACCTCCAATTCATTTTACGCGATTGTACGAATATTTTCACTTAAGGCGACTTGGTATTATCCTTCCTTGGTAAAAAGCCATCATAAAGTTGGCGTAAAAGTTTTCCGCAAGACGGTCCCGCTTCATCTCAAAACGGAATTGATGGTTTATAATTATTTTTTGAAAATTTTTTTTTAACCCTCTTAGTGTGCCAAGATTTATCAAAAATATTTGTATTAATAATTTTAAGTAGCTTTTAAATTCTCACGGCTAATATAAAATTTGTGCCAAATAAATATTCTTAACCCCCAAAGATTTGACCAAAACAGGTCAGAAGTGTTTTACTTCTTTTGGCCATAGCTTAGGGAGGTAATAATCGTTTACAGTAATTTTAATTTGCTAAGTAACTTTACTTTTGTCACCCCCAAAAATTTTAATTGATTTGTTTTATATATCGTTTTTTAAAGACATTGAAAAGTCTTTTAAGGGGCCACTTCAACGGTAACCTGAATCAAATCAACGGCACTGATAGAAACGATACCTTGGCCAGGGTTCCCAGCGGATACCTTAGAAGTTTAGCAAACCTAGGAAATTTTTTTTTGATTGTTTATATTTATGAGGTGATCTCGTTTTTTTGACACCAAGTAAATCACTTCCAGTTTTCTATGATAAGGGATATATTTCCACAAGATATTTTTTATGATAATTTAATGATTTTTTTTTTTTACCGTGTTATTTTAGTTATCGAAAAAATGGAGCAAAATGTCGCGAATAACTCTCAATCGGCCTCCTTGGTTCATGTGTACGGAATATTGGTTAAGAAAGGTTTTTTAGAAAGAAATATATTAATATAATCGGCAATAGTCAATGAGATATAATAATACCTAGACTTGACGATGCATTTGGAAGCGTCGTAGTTGAAATGCAAATCAGCTGGGCCCGCCATTTTCGGTAAACCCATACAGCAATTATTCTCGTGTTAGAATCTACTAACTACTAAATTGATAACTTGCTTTCCTTATTATCTCTCTGTGATCAGGCAATTCTTTAATAAAGTTTGCGTCAGACATGGGAATAAATTTGGCCTCTCGTTTAAAATTTTTTTTAATAATCATATGGGTAACCAGAATGGCGTCCACAGCTGTTTTTCATTGACGTACACTTTTATCGAATGCATCGATCAGTCTAGGTATTATTATATGTCATTGCTGGTAGTAGAGCCAAATTAAAAACCTCATGGAAATAGTAAACTTTCTTTTGTGTAAATTTTTTTTATTATTATATTTATATCACTCCTCATGTAAAATATAATCCACCAAAATTTTTTTAAAATTTTATATTTGAGTGTTAAATTTCGTTAAAATAAATTTTAAACCTGTTTCATTTTTACGTTTGACCAAAAAAAAAACAGTTTTGTTTTTTATATCGTTTTTTTTACATTCCCTAAGAAGTCGAAATTCATTTTTTTAAAAAAATAATAAATATGTTTTAATTTGAATTTCCTAATTTTTTTAAACGATGATTCCATAGAAATCAATATCTTCTTAAACCTTTTTCATCTTAAATTTTTAATCTTAAGGAGGTGGGGTACCCCGAGTATTTTTGCGTGAACATTCCATGGCTTCCATTTATTAAACGCATGGCACATATATGTATAACAATCATAAAATATTATAATATAAGTGCGATGGGAGTAAGGATGTGAATAGATCGGATTTTTGTGAGCTATAAAAATAATGGTAATAATGGACGTCTTTATGCATCATATCATGTATATATTCATGTGTGGGACTTTCTTTCTGGCGCCAATTTTTGATTGAGTTTGATACTTTTAAAAATTTTATTTGTAATATGGCGCCAACCTTGGCAATATTTATTTTATTTAAACCTTGAAAACGTATATGTATAATTAACGAATATTTATGATACAGGGGCCAACTGGTCTATTGGGGGGTGGTGGTATATATATATTGTAAATTATTTAACAGAAGGTCAAATGATCAGGTAGTGTTGAAGGGGGAAGGGGAGTTATGGTGACACATGCTCCCCTACGTTTGGGAGGGGCCTCTGGGGACGAGTGAGATGCTGAAGGTCTCGTTGGCCATTGTGCTCAGAATAATATCTAAAACTAGGGTATAAATTGGCGACCTCCTATTGGTAACATCGAATAGACATGATTCATATCTCTATTGCATAGTAAATATATATATATTTAAAATTATGCCATTAATAATGAAATAATTATAGCGATGTTTTTATAATGTACAAATTAAGAATCGGAACAAGTAATTTATTTTAAATAATAATCGTACAAAATAATAGATCGCGTATACAACGATATTTATGAAGATGTTTAATAGAAAACCAATCGAATATTTACATCTGGATTGTAAGCATAGATTTTATTTTGGCTAATTGTCTAAAGGTCTATTTTACATTATATTATATGTATTTGTTAATAATTGATGGTATTTATTTAAAAAAATTCACGGGCACACACATAAAAAAAATATATTTAATTGGATAAATTGCGAAATATATATTCGTATTTTACATATATATATATAAAATAGTCAGGGCTATTAAAGAGCGGCGCTCCGCTACACTTTTTCAAAAACTGACTGATTCAGTAGCGGAAGTGGGAGCTATCTCCTTTTGAGAAGGGAGAACGAGAGCTAGCTACAAGGAGCGTTAATAACGGAAAATAATGTTTATAAATAAAATATAAAAAAAAAATTCTAAGATTTTAATTTAACGATTTTAGAAACCTCACCCAAAAATGTTAAATACATCTTCGGTTTTTCTGTTAAATTTGCGATCTTCCAACCCTTTATCTCGCAGGCATAAGTGACGCTATTAAACGTTGATCCATTACTTATTTGAATATAGGCTTTAGATACATTACAATTTTGATAGTTTATTTAAAATTTATTTATATATAAATATTTGGTTGAACGTAGGATATTTTCCGGTTAATGGCTATTATTGCGTGGTACTACTTACACTATGCCTAAATTAAAAATGTATAATTTCCCACATTTTATACCTTTGACCAAATTTTTCTAAGGAAAATGGTGGTCTATCCCCGAGCCAAGTTGTAATCCATGTATTGCACAAAACTTAGTAGCATATCTTTAGCGCCCCATTAGATAACAAGTAAAACGCGCCACTGCCACATTTTCTTCCTTGCAGAATGGACGGGTGCTGATTCTTCGGACTATTTTATGAACATCCGAATGCCCCATGTACGGCCCTGATAAGCCCAATGTTTGGCATTTGCGCCATAAAGCTTGTGAATAGTGAAAATAACATCTAAAATACATGTATATTAATATATTAAACTAAATGAACCCGGAAATACATCCTTGAGAGCAGAAATCGCCGCAATTTCAAAATCCGTTTGCGCCATAGAAGGATTAAACCTTATACCGTTGTCGGCACAAAATCCTGCAAGCACTTTCAATACCTTTGCGCATGTATCCTTATTTTTGTTTTTGGCAAAAGAGCATTCACAATGGGTAATCATCACCTCGTGATACATCACGTGAATAACATGGAGCTGATAATATAAACTAGGAGCGGAATAAAATGTTCCGTCCATGTATATGCTATCAGCTCTCTCCGCTAATCTTAACATACACGCTGTCCCAAACATGATTATTTTATTATTATCATTATATATTTAAAAACGGCTCTCCCCGCTGTGAGGTATATTATTCGGGGGTTAAATGGATATCCTCCACAGAATGAGGTAATATAGGAACGATATATTTTTAGAATCATATCAATTGTCGTTTTGATAGAAACAAACGAAGGAATAGCTTTCTGAATATTCTGCGATATAGCTCAACGAGCATCGAATCTCCATGGCCTTTTCATGAATCGTCAATCTCGTCTCCAGTGAATTTTCGGCAAATTACAGTTTCGATGACCTCTCTAAGTCCTAAATTTTTCAAAAAAAAATTATGTTCATGTTGATGAGAATACCCTCACGTGATAGTATACATCCGGCCAGGCCACGATTATAGCGAAAATCGTTAAGTTTTACGACGAAAATCCCAACAGTCGCAGAAAATTTTAAAGACAATTTTAATTAGAAAACTCAAAAAGGACATTTTAGAAAGATAAGAATGCTGCCTATTTAACTTGTAGAAAAAGGTGTGGCATCAACATGTGACATTTTTTTTTTGAAAAACTTAGGACTAGAGAGGTTATCGAAAAAACTGTAGTTGCAGAAAATCCCACCGGAGAGACGAGAGTGACGATTTATGAAAAGGCCATGGAAGTTCAATGCTAGGATAGCGTGGATATCGCAGAATATCCAAAAGCTATTCCTTCATTTGTTTCTATTAAAAACCAACAATTGATTGGATTTTAAAAAAAATATCGTGTTTTATTAACCTCATTCTATGGAGGATATTTATTTAACCCTCAAATATACTTTAACTAAGCCGGGGGAAACAATTTTTAATTCACACTGATAACAATAAATTAATCATGTTAGGAACAGCTTGTATGTTGATATTAGCCGAGAGAGCTGATAACGTATATATGAACATAACATTTTATTCTGCTCCTAGCCTTTAATTATCAACTCTAGTCTTATTCGTGTAATGTATCACAAGGTCATGATACCTATTGTTTATGCCCTTTTTGCCAAACAAAAATTAAGGAGACATATGCAAAGGTATTAAGAGTGCTCGTATAATTTTGTGCGGACAATAATACATGGCTCAATCCTTCTATGACCCAGGCGGATTCTGAAATCGAAGCCATTTCTGCTCTTAAGTATGTATTTCCGACAATGGCCATAAAAGGTTCTAATTTTATCTCCACAAGCTTTATGGCGCAAATGCCAAACATTGGGCTTATCAGGGTCGTACGCGAGGCATTCGGCTTGCTTGACTAATGGGCGCTAACGATACTTTGCTACTAAGTTTTATGCAATTATTACATGGATACAACTTGGCTCGGAGATAGACCACTATTTTCCTTAGAAAATATGGTCAATGGTATAAAAGATGCTAAATTATATATGTTTTTAATTTAGCTGTAAAGAGTAAGTGGGACCACGCACTATAACAACCATCTGGATGGGTTCCATCATGCCCCAAACCCGGAAAATATCTCACGCTCATCCAAATATGTTTATTACATTAATAAATTTTTACTATCAAAATTGTAATGTATCTAAAACTTATTGAAATTTAATGGATCGACGGCTAATCGCGTTAATTACGCCTACGAGTCTCAAATTTAACGGATATTAAACCGAAGAAACCCAAAAATGTTTTAACATTTTTTGGGTGAGGTTTCTATTAAAAACATTATTTTCAGACTTATTAACCCTCCTTCTTAAAAGTAGCTAGCTGTGTTCCTACCTTCTCAAAAGGAGCAAGCTCCCGCCTTGACACTAATTTTTTTTTTATATCTGTTCCCCGTAAATTTTTTAAATAAATGGCCATATCGTTTTATATTTTTTTTTACTAACAAATACATGAAATAATATAATGTACTTTAAACATTTAAATTAAAAATTAAATCTTAGCCTACAATTGCAATGTAAATTTTCGCTAGTTCTGTTTAACATAGAGATGAGGAAAGAAAGAAAGAAGGAAATAAAAGTTTATAAAATGCGATCTATATTTTGTATGATATTTTTTTTTTAAATAAATTATTTATTCCGTCTCTTATAATTATACGTTGTATAAAATGGCTTATTATCATTTTATTAATTATTGGCATAATTTTTATAAATTCCGTGTCTTGATTTTAAAGTGCTGAAGTCATTTACCAAAAAAAAAGAATACTTTGAGGCAGCGCCATCTTATCTTGTTTAAGCATTTTTTTATGGATGGCATTATGAGTGACCTTAAATTCATAGTGTGGGCGATTTAACAGCTGACAGTTTTTTTAAAAAAAATCTGTATTTCTTAGATTTATTATTTATGAATTGAAATTAAAATAAAAAAGTAATATTGAAAAAAAAATTGGTCTCATAAAACAGATTTTTTAAAATCTATCAGCTGTTAAATAGCGAAATTCAAGGTAACCTTCAAATAGTACTTTTTTTTCCACGGAGGAATTCCTTCAATTTTTTTTCTCTCTCTAAAAATATACATTTTATGAGGCTCAAATATCATAAGTAAGAATATTATAAAAATTAAAACAACTAAAAAAAAATTTGTCTTTATATCGGTGAGAAATTCCGAGATGTCGTGACGGGTGCCCGTCTATTTCAAGTCTGTCATTTTGATCACTCCTGCCTTTGTGAGCTATGGGTCAAACCCGAGCATGCGCCGGAAAGAAATTTTCTCGCATATTTAAATATACGATGCATTATAACAAAGTCCTTTCTTGCATTTTTGTATGGATAACTTACAAAAAAAAAATTGCGTTCCTATTACGCCATTTTTCCATTTTGCAGTACCTTATGATTATAGTTATACATATATGTTGTGTTCTGTGTTTAATATTTAATATAGGAGAATTACGGAAGCGTTTACACCAAAATAATTCACGTGGTTCCCCGACCTTAAATCGAGGGACCCCTTCTTACCTCCAATAAGAGTAATGACATACGTCTATCAAAAAAAAAACTTTAGTCAAAATTCTCGCAAAATGGAATTTCCCGTTTTTTTTGGGAGGAACACATATTTATTTATTTTTTTGAAATTTATTTCATTAATATAAAATTCTAAGGAATGTGATGATCTAAAGTAAAATGAAAGAAAAACGACATTTACCCCCCCCCACCACCACCATATTGAAATTTGAAGGACGTTACCTTAAAATTTACTTGGGTTGTAACTTGATGAAGAGTTCCCCTTTTTATTTTCGCGCAACTATCAAAAAATAGGTAAGCATGACCGCTCCACAAAATCGATTCGGAATCTTGATTTGGCGGAAAAATTACTCGACCCACTAATCCCGATAACCTTTGTTTGCCAGGGAAACGGACCGGCCTTAGGACCTTTTCTTCGTCGGTTCGGTTTGTGCAGTGGGCCGCGCTCGACCGATCCTTCCCACATGCGGAAGCTCGCTGCCCGCGATGTTTTAGCCGATCCCATGCCCAAGTGGTTCTCCCAACTGGCCTCCGGTATGGAGTACCTGGCTCGGAAAGGGATCATCCACGGTTGCTTGAGGGCCGAGTGCATTTATAGTGAGTCTCCTATATACTTTAGTTATTACAGACATTCTCGACGAAGTGTATCACGTGCACATATTTTTTTACAATAGTCAGTCAATAGTACTTATTTTTTAAAATAAATAACGTATATCATAAACCAGACACTTTTCTTGTTCTTTAAAAAGGTTCCAGATCTTAAATTTTTCCTAATTCCGATTCCAAACTAGGATCGGTTCCTGGAATTAAAAGAGAGGTCTCGTTTCAGTTTCTAGAAATTCTAGGTGATTTTTTATTTCCTGTTATTAGGTTTGACTTTGTTCCCTAGGATTCTGGTTTTTAACGCTGCTTTTATAGTTTTATTAATGTTATCAAACACCGCTCAAACAAATATTAACCAAGTCCGATATATCGCCAAATAATGGGGGAAAGATTTTGGCCCTCTTCTAGCCAAACCGGCGAGATTTAGGAAATATTCGTTTAGCTTTTAGTCTCGCTCGGTTAAACCACCCGTTTAACCCGATATTTTTAGCCAGAAAAAAAATACGGTTCTAGACCTTTGTACCATCTACAAGCAAAATCTTCGGTCTAGCGTAATAATTTTTTCTAGGTAAAATCCAGCCGTTTAGCAACACACTAGGTCTTGATATTATAATAACTGAAGATCTGCAAAAGTAGGATCGGGCCGGGCTTGAATAATCAGGCCAATATTAACTTCTATAAACATATTGCAAATTTGTCGCCGGATATTTAAAAGTTTATTTTATTTTTAAATTTTTATATATCTTTTCATGTTTTCAAAACCTAATCGAAAAAAGTGTATAACGTAGACCACATCAAAATCGATGATTACTATTACAACCTTCTCGTCGATTTTAAGTCCTCTCAACTTCGTCATCAATATATACAAGTTTATACCAAAATGATTTTTCCTTTTATATATTCATAATCCACTCTAGAAGTGGATAAATAACTTATTTATAACCCAATATTATTATATAAATGTAAAAACTAGATTTTTAAAAATAAAAATATTGAATTTTTACCAAACAAAGTTAATAATAGCTCTGTTTCAAAATTGATTAATTAAGCTTTTCCTATTATTTTGATTTTTAAACTTTGATGTTGATTTTCTCATTTTTAAACATTTGTGCAAGTGGAACACTCCAATTCTAGGCCGACGATAAGTTTATTATATTTTTTTGGAACTGATATATATCTAAAAAAAAATGTTGTAATTTTTTTTTCATGGCTTTTTAAAAGATGAATAATTTTATTTTTATTATCGTTTTTTAGGTGATTTTTTTAAAAAAAATTAGAAATAATTAAATGGTTAATTATGTTTTGGTAAAAAAAAATTTACAGGAATATTACAGATGGCTACCTATGGAGAGCTTGGCGGGATGCGATCTAAGCCACGAGTCCGACGTTTGGGCCTTTGGTAATTTAGTTATTCATTCATTAAAGAAAAAGTTTTTTCGCGGGAGATTTTTTTTATGAAGTTTATCTTAGGTAGGAAATGATCTCACGTTTTAAAATGTCGAGTTAATTTAGATGACTTTCCAATATATTTCGTTGGTTTCGATATCGAAATTCCCATTAATCAATTTCATCGCCCTTAAAATATATATGAATGATAAATAATGTTTATAAAGCCCCAAAAAATTTTATAAATCGAAAATTATAAGTAAATAAAAAAATAGTTTTCAAAACTCTGAAAAAGGTCAATTAATTAAAAATAATAAATTTTGGTTTTCTTTTTATTTTATACAAATTGAAAACAAAGAGTTAAATAATAACAATCTCCCCTTTGCTTCAAGTATAAAAATATATTTATTTTATGGACTAATGTCGATATCTAATTGACACTCACTACGTATACGCGTAATAATATAAAACGCGTTTCGATCCCAGCCCTGGTATTTGGAAAATTTTCTAAAACCGAAATCTTATTGGGACCCTTACTTACTATATTCGAATTTAATAAGAAATATCAATATTTTGCACTTGGGGCGTTCTTCAAGTTGTAACGCTCTAATTATATGTGCACCCCAGAGTTAATGTATTGACCGATCAACCATTCTTTCAATTGACCAATTTTTGACAGGTCAAATTCAAATATATGTTTTTTTAAAGACAATATTAACCTTTTAATTTTTTTTTAAGAAAATTAACTTGTCATTCGATAAGTAATGCTTCGCTCTCTGTGGCAGGGAATTGTTCTGATTCTTATTCGACATTATAATTTTCTTTAATATTTTGTCGAGGTCCTCAGTCGATTGTTTTAGTGAGAATATTAAACCAAATTAACCAATTTCCTTCTTGAAGAAGATGTAGAAATAGGAATCGTTAGAAGAATGCCACTTCTATTAATGGGAATGGTGAGCAAAGTCGATTCCACTAACTTGAGCTTGGAATCTGATTGCTTCTTATGGAATTTACCGCTTTTTCACAAAATCTGCAATTAAAGGTGCCGCCTTTACTTCTGAAATTTATGGCATCGCCTGATTGCAACCTTCGTAAAATGCCGAATTCTTGTATTATGTATATGTATATCACGCACATCATTTATAAACTCACTACTAATAAGATGCCCCTCTTGATATTGGGCACCCAATAAATAAGCAGCTTTGTGATCACGTGTATTTATATCGTTTTTTCAGGTCAAATACCTCCGGTCACGTGACCGGCCAACCATGGTAGAACCTTATCACAAATCCTATTAAGCAAATTTATTGTTTGCGCTGAAAGATGACTTTTGCACATTTAAAAATTTATTCATTAGCCACAAAAAAAAATCTAGAATAAACCGAGTAATTTCCGGAAAATATTTGACGAACCCGAAAATTGTCTTAACCCAAACTCTTGTTTTTTTTAACCAAGCATAACCGCTGGTTGTTCACAACCCATTTTTGTACATGTTTGCTCGTAGATTAGGTTAGTCTAATTTTCTTATACCTCCGCGGATTGGTTGTTAGAATCCTAGGTTTTCACAAAGTCGGTCATTACAATTTTCATTTTTTTAAAAAAAAAATAGGCAATATATATGAGTGATTCGGGTGGTGGTAGTGACGATACCTTAAAAATAATAATTTAATTATAAAAAAAAATAGGGGTGACAATTTGGGAAATCTTATCCTTCGGTCAAGTTCCTTACCTGGGCATGGAAAACGTGGAGGCCTACAACGAAGAAATCGCTGGCGGTTATCGATTACCTCAACCCATATTCTGTGGCGTCAATCTTTACCAACTCATGATTCGATGTCTCATATTAAAATATAAGATTACTACCGAAAAAAATTATATATATATCGAGATTCAAATTTATCTTTTCATTAGTGCATGGTGATTTGATTTCCTTATTTATGCTTTATATTACTTGATTCTTCGCCAACTTTTATGCCCAAAAAAAAGAGATAAACTTCTTTTTTTCGTAATGACTTAAAATTATTTTTTTTTAAACATGTGTCGTTAAATTTATAGGTTGGTTACAATACAAAGAAATAAGACCGACGTTCAAAGAAATAAATAAAACTTTGATCGAATACGCGAAACATCCCGACAAGCATTACAGGGTTGACCAGGTTTTTAAAAAAATATTCGCGTTTCATTTATCGCAAAGGAAGGGGATGCCAGAAAAATAATTTAATGATATACTCCCTTTTTTATAGAGATACTATCAATCATAGGTATTTTAATAGTCTTTAATAACTATATAGGAACTTCTTTATCTATTATTTACCTTGGTTATTGGGGTTGGAGACAAAACGCATGCATACAAAAATAAAATTAGTATACCACCTGTGTAAGTTATTACAATAACCAGGGGATGCCAGAAAATATAATTTAATGATATACTCCCTTTTTTATAGAGATACTATCAATCATAGGTATTTTAATAGTCTTTAATAACTATATAGGAACTTCTTTATCTATTATTTACCTTGGTTATTGGGGTTGGAGACAAACCGCATGCATACAAAAATAAAATTAGTATACCACCTGTGTAAGTTATTACAATAACCAGGGGATGCCAGAAAAAATAATTTAATGATATATACCCCCTTTTAAAAAGTTTAACTATTTAAAAATCAGGTTGCAAATCTTACATTAAAGAAAATATTGTATTTTTTTTAAATAAAAAAAAAATGTTTTTAAAGGTTTTCTTGCCTGGAATATTCGAGGCCTTCGCCAATCCTCAACATGTCGCGAATTATCGCTTAGATCAACGTGGTCCGTTAAACTCGGTTAGCGGCTCGTTGCTCACTAGTCTCGAGGGTAACGCTACCTCTCCTCCCTCGCACTATCACTACCTAGACGGCGAGCGAATCGTGGATGGCCACGATTACTATGATCCTTACTCTGCTCAGACTGATCCGCAGTATTACAGGTAGTTTCCATTTTGTATATTGCTAATATAATTATATTGAAGGAATTTCGAGGCTGAGAAAAGGTTCTACGATGTCCTTTTTTTTAGTGTTTAAAAGAGAGCCTTTTTTTAGAATAATTTATTTTAATATATGCATGTCTAGAAGTATGAGCGGTGACTATGCCGAGGCGATAGATCAGGACGTCGCCACCGCCACCAACCCCGGCTATCAATATTCGTCTCAAAATCCGAACGTCGACAAACCCAGGGACCGTCATTATACACTTTACATTCCACCGAATCTCAGTGAATCTTTCGTATAAATCTCTCATATCCCAAACATTCCTTAGTTTCAAATAAGCGCTGAAAGAATTTTGGCTTTCGTAGAAATCTCTCATATCCCAAACATTCCTTAGTTTCAAATAAGCGCCGAAAGAATTTTGGCTTTCGTAGAAATCTCTCATATCCCAAACATTCCTTAGTTTCAAAAAAGCTCCGAAAGAATTTTGGCATAAATTTTATATAAAATTGAATATATATATAATTTTTTTCTAATAAATTAATATTTTTATCATTTTTTTTTTATTTTCAAAGATTTTCAAAAATTAATATTTTTATAAATAATAAAGAAAAAAAAATATACAATATTTTCCCTCCTAACAAATGCTCAAAAATATTATTTGAATAACATATATTTTATATTACCTATTATCTTACTTTTTTTTAAAAAAGAATATATATTTAATATAAGCGAAATAACAATTTATATTTTTTACTTATAATTCCATTTATTTTTTTAAAAAAAATATAATATAATTACTTTTCAAGTATTAATTTATTTTATTTTTTAAAGCAATCTCCTTTTAAATGCCATATTCGTTAAAAATCATTTAATTTTTTTTAAAAAAAATATATTTTATTATATAGTATATTGAAAAATACTTACTTTGTGTAATAATTTGTGAGTAAAGAATAACGAAAGAAATAAATATAGAATTCCGCGAAAAATATGATAATTTCGCGAAATAAACGTTTTGTTTTTTTCATCGCTGGTGTAATAATCCGCCCCCCATAGTAATTTACTTGTAAATAATAAATATATAAGCCTTCCACAAATCACGTGATATTTTATCGAAAATGTATTATACTTTTTATTACCTATTATTTCCATTTTATAATTATAAAATATACACAACATTAATTGCATTCGAATAATTTTTTTCTTAAATAAAATCTTGCCAATCATGTGTACATATTTATAAATAAAGATTCAAAAAAAGATTTGAAATACAAAAATGTAATAAATTACTTAAGTTATATATATAGCCTCAAGTCAAGTTAACCCATTTGGGAAGTTGAAAGCTAAAATTTTTGGGGTCTTCAGATTCTTATTTTTGGCTGGAATGAGCTTTACAAGTCAAAATAATATTTTTATTTATGCTCAACAAAAGATTAGGTTTGATTTGGTGAATAATAACCGATTCATTATAATAGGTTCGGTTGGAATCTTTGATCCCAAAGTTAAAATGTGAGCACATCCATGATTTTCCCCCATATTAGTTTTGAGGCAAATGTAATCTGCAATTTCGCGCACATTAAGAGCTCTATTATTTTCAGCGTATTCCATTGGCGGGATTTATAGGACGAGATACCGTAATAACCTCGTTCCCTCGTTAGATTTAGAATATGATTTATGGACAACATTTTATTTAAATGAGTCAAAAATTAACTGTAATATATTTTTACAATTTATAAGATAGGAATTCTAAGCATGCTGGAATATATTTTCTGTAGAATAGATATTTTAAAAAACGCGCCCAGAATAATGTTTTAAAGTTGAAAACAAAATTGCACATATATTAATTTTTTGAAACATTAATTTTTTAGTCAGAACAAAATTTAACGAATTTTGATCAAAAATCTTCTATCATCGACTAAATTGAAGATTTAACCTTTACGATTAATCATCAAAGATTGATTTTTTAAAATATTTATGCAAAAACTATGGCGACAGACTTATTTATAAAGAAAGTCTGGAATTTTAAATTTGATCAAAAATCGTGCTTGATTGAGCAATTCTCAAAAAAAAAAATCTTCAATCTTTTCGATCTTTACCTTGAATTTATGGTGGCGCTACTGCGAACGTGATTTATCAGCTGATCATTTTTTACAAATTAATTTTATATTTATTAATCATAAATAATGATCTAAGAAATAATGATTTTAATAAAGAAAAAAATGTCAGCTGTTAAATCGTGCCTGCGCTACTAATGAATTCAAGATTTCTAAGGAATTGATTGACATTTGCGTAAAAAATTTAATTATTTTACTTAGAAAATAAATTAAAAAGTTTTTATGATTCACCCGTCATTCTTGACTGGCTATCTGCTAGTTTAAAAAAAAATATGGAAAATGCCGTAATTTAGTTATTATATAAATTTAAAAAATGTTTATATTACTTTTATCACCTATGAAGGCCTAATTTTTTTTATTTATTATATGAAAGTGTTACATTTAATTATTTTTAATTTATTATTTTTTTATTATTAATTAAATATCGAAAATATATTTCATTATAACTCAAAATTGCAAAAAAAATGTTTAATAAAAATGAATAAATTAATATCCGCTAGATGGCCCTTTATATTTATATATTTTTTTAGAGAAAAAAATCTTATTTTTTAAAAAAAATCTTTTAATTATATATTTTTATATAGAAATATAGATATAGTATGTTAATTATAATTTTAACATTCATTTAATAAATAGTTATATAAAAATAAAAAAATATTATTTTGGCATAACTTTTGGACAATGTTTTATAAATAAATAATGCTAAAATTAAATGATAATGAGTAATTCGCGGTGCATTTAATCGGTGATATAATTTTTTTTTAAACTTAGTGTCAATTGATTAATTAATTGGTATTGAAAAGGAAAAACTATACTGAAAAAGAATCACCATGTCTCTGAATTAATTTGAAATTTTCACTCGAGTCATTTACATTTATTATAATTCATATACACAAATAAATTTGGCCATTATAAATATATTAAAAAAAAAATATTGAGAAAAAAGTCAGGAGAAAGAAAAGTCCATCATCCTAAATTCCAAAATGGGAATTAGGTGGAATAAGACCCGTAGCGGGCTTGAATCGAATTGCCCCTTTAGGTCTACAATACCTTAATAATCTTTTTTTTTAAATTATATATATATTTTTTATTTTAATACATATTGTAATATTATATTAAATATATAAAAAAACTTTAAAAAATATATATGAATTTTCAAATTCAAATCACATATATTTAAATTACAAATCAAATGTATATGATAAAATATGATAACAAATAATGAATATATGAACGTATAAATAGGGTCTATATTAAAATGCGACAAAAGGAATATGAATTAAAAATTTTTAAAAATATCAATGAAGAACGGGGATGGTATAATGCGAGGAAAAAAAAGGATTTAGGATAGCTCTTTGGCTATTAGACTGCCATTGATGTAATTGGCTTTAAGGATTGCTATGGCGACCCTTTGTCGAAGAAAAAACTCCTCTCGAGGTTCTTCCGAGTGTTTGCTGATTTGAGATACTAAATTTTTGAAAAAAGCTAAGGCAAATTTGCCCAAGGTGGCAAGTTTGAAATAATTGAAATGAAACAATGGTCATTAGTAATTTCTGTGTATTTCATTCCTTCTGGTCAATGATGTTGAGTGCCTGGTTAGATGGGACAAGGGGATCAATACAATAAAAGTCCCATACCAATAATTGGCCTCTCCTCCACGGAATTTGAGTGATGCCGTCTGGTCGTTTACTATCAAATCTGAAAAGATCCTGGGGTTCAAATATGGACGGAATTTGTGCTGATTTAAAGGCATGTTGGATGATTGAATAACATTGCCTGTGTCTGATGATACGGGAGCGACAATGTGTTCGAATGAGGTAGCCATTGTAATAAAATCATTGCGCGATTGAATTAGAAAAGAATAAGAAAAAGGGCGAATATATGGCCATATTTAATTTTTTTTAAAAATGGCCAAAATCATATGCAGTAAGAAATCACGTGATCTGCGCGTCGAATAATAAAAATGTTACGTTGGGTTCGAAGGAGGTAGCCATAGTTATAAAATAATTACGCGCTTGAATTAAAAAAGAATAAGAATAATAGCGGGCCATATTTTTTAAAAAAATGGCCATGACGCAGTAAGAAATCACATGATCTGCGAGTCGAATAATGAAAATGTCGCGATCTGTGCAGACTATCATAAGAAATGGCTATATGCGTTTAGGGCATTGTCCGTCTTTTGGATTTGAAACCAATCCAAGGGAATCGTAAAATATGTGAATGCAGAAAGTATGTCGATTAATTTACTTTATTTAGAACATCCTGTAAGGAATAGGTTAACAAGATGATGGAATTTAATGAGCCGCTCAATTCCCATTTAGACACTTGAATGATATTTAATAGGTTTTTTTTATTAAAATTCATCTTTATTATTTTACTAGGATAATTTTTTTCAATAATAAAAATTTTGAATAAAATTATTTTAACGCATTATTTTTATAAATTAAAGTTTTTTTTTTAGTTAACCCGTCATTCTTGACTGGCCAACTGCTAATTTTAATTAAAAAAAAAAGGGATATGCCTATATATAGTTATTATATATTTATAAATGTTCATATAAACTTAGAACTGTGCGCCGACGAAATATCAGCGGTCGGCGCCATTTTTAAAAATTCTAATAAATGGCCAGCGGCTCGCCGATTTTAGCCGCCGAGATAAACTTTTTTAATTGCTTATTAATTTAAAACAAATAAATATACGCTATTTCTACAGATATCTCGGCATATTTTTTTAATGTTCATTTAATATAAAACTTATTGTATCCAAAATCGATTTCCTAAATTTAATTATCATGTATAAAAATTATTTTATTTAAAATTTTTTTGGACATAATGATGATATCTCCTTGAATTTAACGTCAATCCAGAGGCAGAGAAAACTCTTTCACTAGGTGTGCTAGTCGCCGGAATGCAAAAATTTTTTTGGCGAGCTTGGAAAGATTGGAAAGTTCACTCTTTTTTTCTCTCCAAAAATTTAGAACGTCCATATCTTGTGAATGTCGTTTTCCAAAAAAATTGTGGCATTCTTGTTCTAAGTCATCTAACTTTGAATCATAATTTATATTTGTTGAATGTTTATTTGCCAATTTTGTCAAATAACTTGAATTTAATAATTCATCTTCATCCTCATTAGCTATATTTATTACCTGATTATCATCATTTTCTATAAGTTTAAGATGTTTTATTATAAATTCTGAAGCAGAGCAATTTTGCTCTATTAAATACTTTGACACAATTGTCAATTTTTAAAATCTTGTATCTAAAAGAGAAGCCAATACCTAGATATTTTTAAATAAAAAATAAAAGAATATACTTATATAATATTACTTGCAGATTGCAAACCGGAAATCGTAACGCAAGTTTTTTTAGCATATTTTCCTTAAGTGAAATAATTTCAGAACTATCACTATCATTTACTATTAAATGTGTTTCAATTTCACTTCTAAAAAGTAACGCCAAGTTTAAAGTAGGCCCTTTTAGTACTGAAAGAAATTCGACAGTTTCTTTAAATTTTGAAAGAAATGCTAATAGTTCTTCTACCAGATCAGATTCATGATTTGAGAAAGGGCTTCCCAATTCTTTTCAAAACATTATTAATTAAATTATTATTTAATCCAGATATGCTTTCTAGCATAAAAACAATGAAGATAATAATAATAAACTTAAATTGTCAATGTGGAAACAATTTAAAATTATTTTTGATGAAAATGACAAAAAGCTAGATGGGATTTGCTGCAATGATTGCGAGTCCATCTTTAAATATAATAGCAAATCTTCCTTCGGCATCATTGTTCATCTGCAAATTTTGAAGATTTGATAGATAATAAAAAAATAACTGGATATTTTGAAAAAGACAATTCTCAATTAAACAAAACGATAAAATCTGGTCTAATAGCGAATTTTGTAGAATATTGCGCTAGAGACATTATGTATTTTAATTTAATAAATTATTCTTTTATCTTTTTTTTAGGCCATTTCAAGCAGTTCAAGGACCTGGATTTATAAATATTTTACAAAGATTTGCCGACTTAGGGGCAACATATGGTAAATTGGATGTTATTAATAAGATCGTCCCTTGTGCTACAACAGTTAGCCGCAACTTATCCAAAGTTACTGAGGTGCTTAAGGAAATATTATTTCCTAAAATTGTAGAAATGATAAAAAATTCCATTTGCTCATGTACTACTGGTATGTGGTGTTTTACCAAAACCGTTCATATCTCTATCCATCAGTCCATTATATACAAAATTAGAAAAAAAATTTCTTTTTATTTCAAAATTTCAAGATGAAAGAAAATATTCTTAAAGAATTATTAAAAAATTTTTTTTTTAAATTGGTGTTTCCCAAGAATATTTTTCCAAGCTCATCTTTTGGAAGGGTAAATTTTTTATTAAATAAAATTTAATTATTAGTATGTATTAAGTATTGATTTGAAATGCAATTTAAAATGTTGACGAGAAGATTAAAGGTATGTGTCTTATTCCAGTTTTAATGAAAAGGATATATTATACGAAAGTGTTGCATCTAATTAATTTCAAAATTTAAATATCGAAAATATATTTCCATAACTAAATTTGTCAAAAAAAATGTTTATTAAAAACGTATAAACTAATATCCGCTAGATGGCGTTTTTTAGAGGGAATTTTTTTTTTTTTAAATTTCTTATCTTCATTTTTACAATTTACTAATAATTCTATATATAAAAGAATAATTCAATTATTTTTATTTATTTTAGCTGTGTATTTTGTTTAGTCGTTGTTAAACAACTAACCTACCTTTATTCGACTATAAAACAAGCGCAGCCATATTTTTTTATCCAGAAGTACTCTAATCGATCTTCAAGTTGAGGGCTCGACTTAGAAGCTTAATTTTTTAGTCTAAAAGATTGACTAAGACACTATAAAGATGGTCAAAGTTAGCTAATTTAACAACACTAATTTTGTTTTATAAAAAGGTTATTGATGAAAATTTAATCCGTTATTGAATGTACGTTAATCGCCAAATGTGTTATTTTTTATTTTTCAACTTTTAAATCATAATTTTGAGCGGGAAAAAAATCATAAATTTTACCGGAAATGCATTTAGCGGGCACGTTAAAAATTCATTTTCCTTCGATTCGTAGATAATTTTTGAAGTTAACTTTTGAGTCATTTTATAATTTATATTTAAACAAATCATACGGTGAAACGAATATAAATTTTATTGAGTCCAAATGTTCATGGCATAAATTGTACGAAAATCATAAGGGGTAGGTATTTTAAACATGACGGTAAACACTTCCGGTAACGTCGGATTTGTTAAATTTAAATAAACACGCTCAAAAATTGAATCAACATTGCCGGGCACATTGCCGCTATCACTACGCGTCTCTTAAATTCGAGACATTTTATGAACAAAAAATAGTTTAAGCTACGTTTAAACTTCATTTTAGTGAACGTAGAATAAGGTAGTGCGTAACTTTATATTGTTAAACTGAGGGTTTAAAAAAAAAATTCAAAATCTATATTTACATATCAAATAGATTCGTGTAACATATAAATCAAGTTTGGAGATTCAAATATACGATTTTTCTCCGGGGTACGTTGGGCCACAAACGCTAAAATGTTTTTTTTACAACCGCGCAAATTTTTTTTGACGGGTTAGGTCTAATATGAGTTCGATCTCTAATCTCTAATATCCTCCTTCAAATTTATCTTTGAATAACGAAATGAAGTGGTATGCTTTCATTTTATACACCGAAAGAAATTAGAATTATTTATCGTTGTGCTAACAACAAATTCATTTCCCCCCTAAGATAGATGCAGTATTTCATTCAAGGGGTACAGAGATTAATTAGGAGTTTTAATCTTGTTGGAGGTAAGGAGCTCATTTCTTCTCTCTGTTTTGAGGAATATTTATCACAGACGTGTAACAGGAGCTTCCTAAAATTTATGTCGTAGTATATCCTCTGAAGAAGATCTAAATCTCCCCAGTCGAGTAAAGGTAAAATATTGTCACATTTTCGTTTTACAACATTGTAATTAGACGATTAAGAAAAAATATAATCACTTAAACAGTATTTTAGCTCAGTACCAAAAATAAGGAAGATATATCCCAGTATAATTAATTCTCCCGATTATTCTCTAGATCCGACTCACGTCTTGTCCCCTTTTTATCCAGAAAAATCATATGCAAGCCTCCTGAAGATTTTTCTCATTGATGGCACACAGGATCGAACATCTGTTGGCAAAATCTCGACACTCAGGGAATATTTTCCTGGCTAAAAAGTTAAAACTTATATTTTAACTTTACAAAAAAAAAGTCAATTATCGGAATTATTTGATTATTTATTTGCTTTTTATAAATTCGAAATTTATAATTACATATAAATAATATAAATATATTTTATTATATATATATTTATATATATATATATATATATATATATATATATATACAAACTAAATATTTCAATTAACCAAAAGGAAGAAGCCACACTAAAAAAAAATAGAGTTCGCAAAAAACAAAGATTAATTGAATAATATTCTTAATTAAAATCTCACTGGCAAAAATGTCGCCGTTTTTAATTATCGAACATGGAAATTCTTTTGGGAATTTTTTTTTAACTTTCAATTCTCTTTATCTTAATTATAATTATAACTATTATAATTGCGCGAAAACGTTATTTGTTGATGATTGTGTTAATGCCAATAATTTGTATTCTAGGTGAGAGTCGGCTAATTATATTATTTAATTAAAATTAACTTTCACCTAAACTATTTCTTATAAACATTTATTCCCTAATTAATCCCAAAATATGGGCGCAGCCAATGCACATGGAAGGGATGTGGTGGGTGAAGGGAATTACGTCATTAAAATCTTAGGGGGTGAGGGAAGTACCTCGTGGGGTGTAATCAATATTCATAATAGTTGGTATCCATTTTATAGTTCGTTTTTTTATAATCATTTTTTTATGCGATAGGGAAGATGGCGGAGGGAAATGAGTATATTAATTTTTCTTTTTTCATTTGCGCAAAAACTTTACGGGGAGGCGGAGCCGCTGGATCCGTTTCTCTCGCCGCTTAGGCTACGCCTACGATCCCGTCAACATTTTAAGCCGCTACTAATTTCGGAAGAATTTTAAGAACGAGATTTTTTTTTTATTTCTTTGTCACTCTTCAATTATTTTATCTGAATTTGTATTTTTTAAATTGTAAATTTTTGTAAACAAGAAAACGTTATAATTAATAATAATAAATTTAATCAGTAAAATCTATTTATTATTTTTCTTACTTTCTTTCTTTCTTTCTTTATTTTTTGTAAAAAAAAGAAAAACATACGCTTCAATAACAAGAGACCAGCCATATCATTATTATTAAACTTATCATAAATATATATTTCACTGTTATTTATATATTACATTACTTCGTTTTAATTGAATAATGATGCACTTTACTTAATGGGATTTTTTTCGATCTTTAATTTTCTTTATTTTCTTTATAATCTGACATAAATTTGTGTTATTTTGGATTTCCTCGTAAAAATTTTTAATTTTAATTTACAAAATTTATTTATTTGCTTTCTTTCTTTTCTTTCTTTCTTTCTTTCTTTTCCGAAAAATAAAAATAATTTTTTTTTTAAAAAACTGAAAATATTATCATATTACAAAAAAAAATGTCTATTTATACAAAATTATAGATTGCAATAATAATAATCGTCTGATTACAAAAATTATAAATTGCATAAAAACAATCGTCTGTTTAACAATTACACCAAAAATTATAAATTGCATCATTAACTATCGTCTGATTCACATTATTTAAATTTAAATTAAAAACTTTATTATAGAACTTTAAATAATTATTCAAATTTTAATTATAAAATAAATGTATGTAAAAAAAAATATACTACAGACAAAAATAAAATTAGAACATCCAATCATCAACTCAATCACAATTAAAAACTGGGTGTAAAATGAATGCATAGTTTGAATAAAAATAAAAAAGATGATAAATTGAATAATGAAGGGTTGAGTATGAAGATTGAAACAAAAATCTTAATAACAATAATTTAAGTTTTCCTTTATTCATCTCCAATAAATAAAAAATAATAAAAAAGTAAAAATATATTAAATAACATTATAAAAAAAATTAAAGTTAAAAAATAAAAAAATAAAAATAACCAAAAATTTTTTTTTACAAAAATAAAGAAGTGAAAATTATATAAACAATATCTATATAAAATTTTCTTAAGATTAACAACTTAGAAATATCGTCAGTTACATAGTCTATAATATGAAATTAACCAACATTCCCGAATAATGTCGTAATAATTCTTCTAATTGGCATAAGACATTTTTTGTATAAAGGGAATTCATTTGAATATCACAACACTCCTGAGACGCACACAATAATATATATATATTTAAAGTAAGAAAAATATATAGGTAGGAGGAGAAAATTTATAAAAACTGGAAAATAAAAACTTATCAGAAAACAAAGGATCCATCATGGGATTTTCCATAAATCTGAAGCAGACCTGAATCCCTAAAATTGTTGTGACCCCTATGATCCCTGGAAATTTTTACGAACTCTACTCGGCGCACCAACATAACATGATAACTCAAAGTATTTTATATTCTATTCCCACTCTGTAAATGGCACAATTTTAGCAAAAAAAAAAAAATTTATTCCCTTTAAATAATTTATTTATATTCGTCAAATTGCCAAAAAATATTTTATTTGTTATTAATAGTATATATAATATATACTGTGTATATGTATATATATAATATAAATATAATAATTAATTTATTAGATTAATTATTAATAAAATTTTGGTTGTTAAATTTAGATTAAGCATAAATTAAAAATTAATAGGTAAAAAAAAATCATTATTATTAATTTATTTCTATAAATATATATATATATAAATAAACCCTTTTGAAAACGTTTTAAAATCAAATGAGTATGAGTGAAACTGAAGGACAGGGCTTTCCGCCAAAACAAAATTCATCTATAATTTATTATATATTTTAAAAATAGCACTTGTCCAGCTATAAAATGATAAATGTCATAATGCTTACCAATTTTTACGGAAATAATTTGACTAATAATTATATTGATATAGAAATAGATTATCAAAAAGTAAATAATGTAATAAAAAACCAATATTTTACAAAGCGGTATATTATTATTTAGTGTTGTTTAAACGGCTCTAACTCAATACTTTATCCAGAAAAATATTACGCAATCCTGAAGATTTTGGTCATAGGATGGAACAAAGGTCTCTACATATAATATCCAAAATCTCAAGGGTTAGGGCATTTCTGGATTGAGTTAATTTAACAACACTAATATTATTATATAGATATTTCTTTTATATATGTTTGGCAAATAGCAAATAACTTTTGATACCATTGGAAAAATTGAGATTCAAAATATTCTTTCTTTCTTTCTTTCTTTCTTTCTTTCTTTCTTTCTTTCTTTCTTTCTTTCTTTCTTTGAAAATTGGCATCGAAGCAAATAATTTTTTTTTTAAAAAAAAAGTTATTGCGACACATTTTAGTTTTTTCATTGGGTGGATCTAATTCTTAGAAATTGTTCACGTGATTCGGAAATCATTCCGTATTATCTCAAAATCATGTGTTATCTCGGAAATTATTTCCGTCTTTTTTTACCAAAAAACACTTCTTCAAATATTCTCAAAATCGCAATGGAAAAATATCCGAAATTGTGGGTAAGTTATTCGACACACATGTGATTTGATTTTAATAATTTGAAGAAAGAAAGAAAGAAAGAAAGAAAGAATGAAAGAAAGAAAGAAAGAAAGTAAGAAAGTAAAAAAGAAAGAAAGAAAATCCGAAAAAATTAAAAGAGATTAAACCAGTTTGAAAAGTGATACCTTAAAAAACGTTGAATTATACATCCTAAAAATATACAAATTTTTTATCAAATGATAGTAATTTTTAGTGTTGTTAAACGGACTATTTTTGAGACGATTTTTTTCCAACGGGCTAACTCAATATTTTAGCTAGAAAAATATTGCCTTAAGTCTGGAGATTTCCATGATATATGTCTTAGAACCTTTGTTCCTTCTATGAGAAAAAATTTTCAGGCTTACCTAAATATTTTTCCGGACTCTCAATTTTGGACAATGATAAATTGTACTTTTAAGTTTAATATATATATATAATATATAAACCAACCTATAATTTAGTTTCAAATGATTGATTAATATATAAAAAAAACGTTTAAAAAATATATATAAATAAATCAATAAAAGAAGAATTTTTTGGTAAAAAATTTTTTTAAATTCAATTTGCTATATTTTTTTTAAGGGATTCTTGAGAATTCCGTGTTAATCCCCATCCAAAGATTCTAATCTGGGATGATGTGGTATTAATATTTGTTTTTATTTTTTTTAAAAAAAAATTTATAAAAATAATATTTTAAATTAATAAAATTATTTTAATAAATCTAATCGCTTTATATATACACACTATTAATAAAGATCAACGTAGGATTAAAGATAAGAATGAACAAATCTTCAAAATTTGTGAAAGAAAATGCTATGATTCCTATTAAAAAATAATGTTATTTTTATCTGAATAAAAGTTAAAATCAATATTGTTTAAAAAAAATAAATATTATTTTATCTATATTATATATTGTATTATATTAAAAAATAGATAATGATAAAAGTTTTAATTAATTTTATTTATTTTTTACTTCTTCCTTTCATATATTATTTTAAAAAAAAATTTGTGGATACTATTCATAACGATAAGGTAAAAAAAAAATTAACACTATCAGTTACTCAATTTTTACAATCCGCTGTTAAAAGGGGTTATAGCAATGTCGCACTTCGAAATATTTATGACTTACGTGGTGCCTATCATTTTCGGGATCATCATATTGGTAGGCCTGATAGGGAACCTGATGGTTGTGGCGGTCGTGTACTTGAAGGAATTAAATTTTAAAAGGGAGAAGAAGAAATTGTACTTCCATCTTCCCAAAAACGCGGGCACCAAAAATTCGCCCACGAATATTCTCATCCTGAATTTGGCGTTGACGGACATCCTGTTTTTGGGGATATGCGTGCCGGCGACGGCTGTCACTTACTATTTGGGGAATTGGCCCTTCGGAAGCCCGGCGTGCAAAATAGTGCAGTACCTGATCTACGCCACCGCGTACGCCAGCATATACACCTTGGTTCTCATGTCGATGGATAGGTACTTGGCCATCGTGCATCCTTTCACCCTCTCCGTCAGGTACAGGAACAAAAAAAATGTTCTGATAGCCATAGTGGTGTGTTGGATCCTCATCCTATGCGGTAATATCCAGGTTTTGGTGTCCTACCAAGCCATAACTGAAAGGTTCTTCAAATACGGCGGCCCTGATGGCATGGATAACTATGTCGATAACATCCTCGATTTGCTTTTAAATCTCCACACGCATGAACATCATCTCGTCAGGGGTAGAGACAAACGGTTTTTTTCGAATAGATCGACTCGTTTAGACGATAAAGGTTATTTACCGATTGAATACGATTACGATTATTTGAATTCTGTTCAAACCTTATCCGATAAAAGGGTTACCCCTATTAGTGCTAGCATGAATATGGAGCGGCAGTTTTCTACGAATATGGATGGTAGATATTCCGGTAACCGACTCAAAAATACGGCATCATCTAAGATACTTCAGTTTGAAGATATAACCATATGCTTGATGCTCGATCCGTGGAAGGAAAAGGTGTTATTTCTAACCTTTTTCGTATTTGGATTGGCTCTACCGCTGCTGATAATTTCCCTTTTATATCTACGCCTGTTGAAAGTTTTATGGAACAAAAATTCCGCGACAAATTTTATCGATCGCGGTACTTACAAAATTAATGCCACGCGTGTCAATAATTGTACCATCGACCATATCATCGAACACGGAAGTTTGTTTTGTCAATTCGCGAATACGCCCAGCCATATCCTTCCCACGATACCCTTAATGTATCCAGGGTGCAAGAATTGCAAATTGACCCCCGACGTTAGTACCAAAAAATTGAGAAGAAAGAGAGCGATCAGCTGGAGAAAAGTGACCAAAATGGTGATAATCATAGTTCTAGCTTTTGTCGCTTGTTGGTTTCCCATTCACATCATATTCTTCGTCATTCACGTGATAGGTTACCACAATAAAACGATACTCATGATTCAAGCCGTCACTCAATGTCTCGCTTACATGAATTCCTGCCTCAATCCCATCTTGTATTCCCTCCTTTCCGACAATTTTAAAGATGGGTACAAACAGCTAATCGCCATGATTTGTCGGTTAGGACCAAAGTGGGTAGAAAAATTGTGTTGTGGGGTGTCAGCTGATAAATATGGCCCCCAAGACGCGATACAGCCTCCTTACCACGACGAATACTGTACCTTTCTCGATGACCACGATAAAAGCCGCGAGAAATTCGCTCAGCGTAGAAAAAAGGGGGGAAGTTTTAGACACAGCTTTCGGAGAAGTTGTTATAAGAAAGGCGTTCCTTTGAGATCCACGTCGCTCATCGACTTTAACGATTATCGTCTACGCGAAAATTTAGTTCCGCATCCGCGTCGAAATTTATAAATTACGGCATTCATCGGAATTACGATTTAAACACCCCCCCCCCAAAAAAAAAAATTTAATTCAATAAACTCCTTTAATAAAAGTTTTAAAAATATATATAATTATATATATAATTATATATATATATATAATGTTTAAATTAAACCAAAATTTCCTAGTGCTCAAAATATCGGTAAAATTTATGTATACTTAAAAGATTCCGGTGGAAAAGAAATTTCGTGTGACTATTCGATATCGATAAGATAATAATTATAATAATATATATATACATATATATATCAGAGATCCTTCAGGGGGGTGCCATTTACATGGCCCCACTCCGACCGGATATTTATACCGACTCGGACCGGATATTTATTCCGACTCGGACCGGATATTTATGCCGACTCGGACCGAATATTTATTTTTTTTTATAAAATATTTTCAAACCCGACCCGGCGCGGTCCGGATTTTTTTTAAAAATATGTTATATTTAATTTTTAATTTTTTTTTATAGCTAATGATAGCGATAAAATACGGCACTGCCCGTGGACACGGGCCTGGCCTGCAGGGTCTCTGATATATATATTTTAATAAAACTTTAAAATGTTAGCTTTTTTTACAAACATAGTAGGTTGATATAAATAAATTTCAAAAAAAAAGGAAAATGTTTGTATTTTATATATATATATATATATATATACCTTTTCGGTTATTTTCTATCCATTGAGGATGACCTTATGTAAATTTTATTTTGTGTGTGTTTTAAACAATAATAAATCGATAACACCTAACACCTAAACAACCATCTTTCCTTTACATTTTTTCCTAGTTCATCTTTATCACTATAACTTTTTATGTTCATAAAGTCATAAAATCAGTTACGAAGTAAATTTATAAACTTGTAATAGTGTATCTGTATCTGTATATATATATATATACAATAAATACATTTATTTATAATCTACGGCGGGGGAAAAACTAAAAAGAAGAGAGAATATAAAATAGAAATAAAATAAAATAAATTAATAAATAGATACAAAAAAATTAATAATTAATGCGAATGAAAAAAAAAGGGATTATTTATTAATATAAAGATAACGAAAAGGTTTATATTTCTTCTTATCATCCACCAAACATTGCTGCTACCTCATCTTCCATTTTGAGAAGATAAAAAAACATTGATTTTGTTTTTTTAATGCCGTTTTTTTCGTTTTTTTAGCCTTTTTTTCGTTTTTTTTTTAAAAAAAAACATTTCGAAATTCATTTTATTTGCTATCGTGTTTTTTATTATAAAATATTTATATTATATTAAATATATTTTCAAAAAAATTAATAATATATATTATAAAAATAAAAAAAGTAAGGTATAATAAATTATTGATTTAAATTTTTGTGTAGAGAGATGTGAGTCAGCTGGCCGTTGGCTCCCGTTCAGCTTACTTATCACCTAGAATGTGCAGCACCGATTATTTAAATCACGCTTGCGCCAAAAAAAGTTTTTTTTTTGTTCTAGCACATGCTCGTGATCACGGGGTTCGCAATTTTATATTACCTCAAGGAAAATACAAATAATAATAAAACTAACTTTAAGATTTTTTTGATTCTCTTTCTCACGTCATAAACTATGTGGGTGTGTTGACTTTCTTTATTAGACATTTTTTTAAGAAAATTAAACTTTGCGATCAAAATATATATCATAGACTGAATTTATTATAAAATATTTTCTGTATTTAGAGAAGTGATTACATTCAATTAAGAAAATAAAGGACTAGCCGGATATATCAAAATAGGAATAGTGATTCTAAATACGAATGAATTGGAACGAGAATTCTATGGATCCTTAGAAGAGATTATTTTTCTGTTACAGCAAACTAGCACACATCTAGTTTAAAAATTATTTCTCTTTCACTGGCTTTGAACAATTGAATTCAAAGAGATTATTCCGTATATCTCTCAAATTTCAATAAAATTATTTTTATACCATTGAATAAAATTAACAAAAATTGTTCAATAAATAAATGTATATATTTTATTATAATTAGCATTTTTCTTAAATCAAAAAAATAAAATAAATATCTTTTACGCCGACCAATGACAATAATACCTAGACTGACGATGCAGAAAGCGTCGTTGAATGCAAATCAGCTGGAGCCGACATTTTGGTAACCAATATAGTAATGATTCTCATGTTAGACACTACTTATTAAATTGATAACTTGCTTCCTTATTTATCTCGACGATCAGGCATCTCTTTAATAAAGGTTTGCGTTAGAGTTAGGGAATAAATTGGCCTCTCGTTTTAAAATTTTCGATAATGGTATAGGTAACCAAAATGGCCTCCCCAGCTGTTTTCATTGATGTACACTTTTAGTTAAACATCGCTTCGGCCGGCAAATCATCGGCACACAGCTGTGTTTTCTCAAAATGATTATGTCGGATTTTTTTTGTAATTATGACATAATAAGGCAATCATGAAGATCATTTTAATGATTAAAATATGTTTGTGTAATGTAGTAAAGTGTTTTAGGTCCAAACCTAATCTGAGAAATTCTTTTTCGTCCAACTCCTCTAGAATGACCATTTTTTTTTCTTATCTTATTCTTAATTCCTACCATCGGAATAGTTTTGTTCCTTTCCGGAAAAAAGATTAAAGAAAAGTATCGGATCGAGATAAAAGTAACGTTCTTACGGAAAGCAAATTAAAAAAAAAATTTATTCAAGCATTTAGAAGAAATATATTTTTGTTTTCTAAATTTTTGTTCCAAATCTGACAGATGTCTGAGTTTGATCTAATTCAGAAGTTGGAACAGCTATAATTTTTCGTAAATGTGATTACATTTTATTTCAAAACTTAACATTAAAGATGTGTACTTTATCAAGGTTCGGTATTGTAACTTATAATATAATATGCGTTGAATGAATATATATTTATATATATTATAGAGATAAAACTATTATAATTTCCTGTATTTCAATATAATAACATCATATCATAAGAATTTAATAGTACATTCCTGGTTATGTTCCATATAGATCAAGGATTTAAGTAAAATTTTAAGAAACTTAAATCATCTATAACAACTTGTGGTTCTTTTTTAAATTTGAAAAGCTTTCTTTTTTTTAATAATAATTTCTCTATAGGGGAAACCGGGGTTATATGGCATATGGGGTAGAAAGGCATGGACGAATTGCTTCAAATTTGATCAAAAGATGTAATTTCTATACATATTTATACAATTTGCTTATTCAGAACTGAGAGACACTCATTACTCCTTCTTCATCAACTTTTTCATTCGGTGTTTGTTTCTGCAGAGGGGGGGGAAGAGAAGAAAGAAAGAAAGAAAGAAAGAAAGAAAGAAAGAAAGAAAGAAAGAAAGAGAAGAGAAAGAAAGAAAGAAGAAAGAAAGAAAGAAAGAAGAAAGAAAGAAAGGGGGAAGAGAGAAGAAAGAAAGGAAGAGTACTTTTTGAATGATATGGAATTTATAGGATTGTAGCCTAACTAGAATAATTGTTAGAGACATTTAGTCAAAAACCCCACTATTCCTTAGGTTATATGGCATGGGGGTAAAGTGACAAATTTACCTGGGGGCCTTTAGTAAAAGGAAGCAAGGACTTTTACTTAACCCTACATTAGGCCTACTACAGTATATAAAAATCAGAGAGCCCCTTTTATCATTTTATTTTTCAGTTTAATAACGATGGCTTTCCTATGTTACAATTAGTTTAATTTTTATATTAATTTTACAAAAAAACCTGACAAAAAGGACACATAAATTTGACAAAATAATTCTTAGGAAAAAATAAACGGTTTTCAAAAATTTTTAGACACAAGTTTTAACTGATTATAATACTAATTTGACGGTTTCACACCAAAAAAAATAAAATAATTTAATTTTCATAATATTAAAACGCGATATTATTATAACTTAAAAATACCGTAATTTTGTTCAAAAAATAAAATAAATAATCAATTTACAATTTAAGGAAAATTGACAAATATTATATCTTTTTTTTTGCATTTATCATATTATGGATGCGAGATATATATATAAAAAATTAAATAAAGTTTGACAAAAAAATAGGATAATATGAGTGATAATAGTAGGTAGCTAACTAATTCCAATAATTTTAGTATTACTTTGACATTTTATCAGAAAGCTAAATAAGTCAAACTGCAGATAGATTTGTTTGAAAAATGAAAATTATTGAAATATTATATATGTATTATTTTAAACATTTTCAATTAATAAATATGATTTTAATTGTGATTATCGAAAGTAAAAATCGTCCAATCAAATAAATTTATTATTTAAACATTTATAATTTTTTATAATTTTTTATAATATTTTTTAAAATCTTCTTTTTTTTTTGAAATTGTTAAGAACATTCATAAATTATATATAATAAATTGTTTATTAAAAATCTTACGTATAAAATATTTTAAAGATAAATATTTTTGACTAAATTGAGCAGTGGATAAGTAAAAATTTTTTTTAAATTATCTAAAGAATATACTAAGCCCGAGGTTCTAATAAAAGGGTATCTACCAGAGAGCTATGGCTTCTGGTAGGGGTACATAAGGATAACCAGTGCTTATCTATTTCTCCTACTTGGGTTAGCCTAAATTTCTCATTTCAGTCCTACATATAATAAAATAAAATATTTGCTTTCCTTTCTATATATAAAATTAGGTATCTAAATCGTTTTTTAAATTTCTTTCTTTCTTTCTTTCTTTCTTTCTTTCTTTCTTTCTTTCTTTCTTTCTTTCTTTCTTTCTTTCTTTCTTTCTTTCTTTCTTTCTTTCTTTCTTTCTTTCTTTCTTTCTTTCTTTCTTTCTTTCTTTCTTTCTTTTATTTGTATTATCTTGCTTCAAATATTAATTTTATTATATTTGCAAATCAAACTCCGAAAGGAATGATAAGCTTTAAGATAGAAAATTTTATGAGGTTGGGAAATAGAGATTTCAAGATTTCTAACTACAGTATTTGTCGAGGGATGCATTTGCCAGGCCTTCGAACAAGTTCCTCCTGTGGAAATCTGT